TAAAACATTAAACAGAGATCCGTGGTCCTTGTATTCTGATCAATAATAGCACATTCTGTACGTACTGTTTCTTTGAAATGTTTCTTTTTACATACTTTTAGGCAAATGACTCTTATCTTCAGATGGCAATTGGAAATGCTCCATGGCCCATTGGGGTATCAATGGTGGGAATTCATGCCCGAACAGGAAGAGAAAAGATCTTTTCACAGAATGTGGCTCGTATCCTTTTCCTTTCTATAATGATGTGACACAGTTGTTTTGTTTCTATATATAGCTTTTTAAAGCCTACTGAATCTACATGCAACCATACATGTACAATGTGTAACGCCTGAGAAAATTTCAGAATTATTACGTTAATTTGAAGTTTGTTTAAGATTTTGAATACAAACTGCATGATATGAGACAGGAGAAAATCACGGCTGTTTCTTTAACTCATCATTTCATTAGATGTTCTCAACGATGAAACACAAAGAAAGTATATTCAGGTATGGCCGTGATTGGAATAAGTGAAAGTCCAGTTGTTTTTCAGACAGAAATTCTGTGACAAATTAAAGACCACCCCTCATAGTTAGAACCACCTTGTACAGCATAATAAACAGTACCACAGGAAAGTACTGCCCGGGGGGGACTCCCATATGAAACAGACAGGGATGCTCGTCGTCTCGCTTAGGGGTGTAAATTTTGGATTTTGGTCTCGCTTAGGGTGTTCCGGGCAAAGTGCCAATATTTTAAGCCGCCAAGGTCTCGTTTAGGGTTCCGCGAAAAACTTGAGATTTATGACAATGCTTTTAAAAACTACTTTTAGATAAAAGCATTCGATGATTATGTCTTTATATCATTAAAACTCATTGCATGTCGTATTTGTGTGATTTTAAGTGGTCTCTTTTAAGGGTCAAAATTTGCTTAAGCCATGCCCAGATGGTCTCCTTTAGGGGTTAAATTCAAAATTTCCGACGAGCATCCCCGTCTGTTTCATATGGGAGTCCCCCCCTGGGAGTCACTTAAGGATTTCATCCACAGACTTAAAAGTTAGAACCACCTTGTATATACTAGGTTTGGCTGTTCTGCAATGCTTTTGGGTGGTATACCGGGAAATATCCTACGAGTGATTTTCCTAAGTATACACACGAGCCTTTAATCAGCTTAATAGACAGCACCTTAGTAAAATACTGCTCATCTTTGTGGTGGCAATGTGGGATTTCTTCAATATAGCCAATTAGAGACAACCGAAAGTTGTCAGGCAGCAACTCCTGATAGATTTTCTCAGGCGACGCACTTGGCAGCACATTTGAAGAGGACATTGTATATATAATCAATCAATTTCCAACTGAAATTCTAAAGGAAAACCGTTGAAATCAAACACGTCTCTATTCTCATCTCGCACAGAAATGTCAAACTACAGTGAAACCTGTATTAAGCGGACACCCTCGGGGAATGCTGTAGTGTCCGCTTAATACAGGGTGTCCGCCTAATACAGGTTTCGATAGATAACGTCATATGAGGTGTCAAATGCCATTCAAATGAAGAGTGGAAACGTTTAGAATACTCCCAGCAACTATGACGATATGCGTTTGCATTAATTTCTTTAGCAAAGGGAACCAGTTGATCATAGTACCATAAACATAGATTGCAACTCAAATTTGAAGAAATCAGAAGAGTGAAAAAAGCTTTATACAAACAAAACGAAATAGAAAACAGTACAGTACGGTGAAACTAATCAAATAAGTTCGTCAAGTCAAGTTTTTAAATGTAAAAATCGAAAAATTTGTGGGTGGCAGTTTGAGGCAGTCTTTCGCATTTCCGGTGTCTGGCTGCATGTTGGATGGTGGAATTTAATTACAAGTGTCCGTTTAATACAGGTTGGCAACAATAGAAATGACCATTTCAGGTACTTTTTAGGTGTCCGCGTCCGCTTAATAGAGGTGTCCGCTTAATAAAGGTTTCATTTAAAGTAGACAAGGGAAATAAATTTTGGGACTTCGACTACTGTCCGCTTAATAGAGGGTGTCCGCTTAATACGGTGTCCGCTTAATACAGGTTTCACTGCATGCAAATGCTTACCCCTGCAGTCAACCTCACGCAACACATGTTTTGGTAAAGCGAGTACAATACCAAGGAGAGTGCAACGCATAAATTATAACAATAAATTATGAAATTCCTGAATCGACGCAATGACAACTTCAATGACATGATGACAGCGGAAAACACTAAAACTTACACGATCCAGATGATTGCTAGCCTGAATTTCATCCGATTGCTTCCAGTCGTTTTCTCCTCTATGGCAAGCCAAATGTAGCAATAATGTTAATATTTTAATTCGTTTAATTTTTTATGTAATTTTGTATTATACATTCAACTGTGCGTTTTATATTCAACTTACATTCAACATTCAATGTGTTATTCAATATTCAACTTTCCATTCAACATTCAACTATTCATTTTGAATTCAATTCTTCATTTACCCATTCAATTATCTATTCAATAATTTCAACTAGTTATTCAACATTTAATTATTCATTCAACATTCAATTATTCATTCAATATTCAACTATTCATTCAACATTCAACTATTCGTTTCAGTTCATTAAGTCTTTTGAGTCCTCACTACTTCTGGTCAGTGATGCATATCATTGCTTGTTAAAAACATGGCGGCGATGGCTAGAATGCCCGGGGGGGGGGGGGTACTGCCATTTGTGGGCTATTTAGGTATGTGCCGCTGTGAAGGGTATGGTTTTCAAGTAGTTTACTCTAGGATAGGGTATATAAATCAGAGCGTTTGGGTCTAGAATAGGGTATCATTTTTCAGGACACTGATCAGTTGGTTGAAGATTTTATCTAGACTAAGGATTGTGGTATAAGTTTTTGTTTTGGCTAGACTGTGCTAGTGATAGGGGGGACTTGGGGAATTTACTCTAGTATAGGGTAGCAAAATTCAGCTGAACTAGCTCTGGTGTAGGTTAAGGGTTCCAGGGTCCCAGCGGCACATCCCCACCCAGCAATTTCTTAAGTACCCCCCGGGCTAGAGTGCCGGCTAAGGAAATAGAATCTCATGAAGATGAATTAAGTGTCCACCTGGATGTGGAGTCTGACCATCCAAGTTTCCCTTAGAACTGACCAGATTTCCCAGACGAAAGTTAATGAGGAAATTGTGGAGCAGCATATTGATATTGTCGATCAAATGGTGCGTTTGCCTCCTACACTCCTAGACAGCAGTTCTAATATTAACACCTATGACAAAGAAACCTTAGATAATCTCTCAACTCCACAGTGTTGCCCCAAAACGTTTCAAGTTTGCTGGTGACTCAGTTATTCCATCCGTGTTGTGCGCGGCTGAGAGCAAAGCGGTTGCCATTACTGAATGTCGAGACTGTGCAATTCTCTAACAGGGGTGCGCCGCGACCATGCTCAGAGCCGTTCCCGGGCGGTCGCCTTTTGTTTGCCGTTTGTGTGCATTTTTTAAACGGCTCTAAGTAGTGTTACCGGTAGCAACGATGTGAAAAATTTGTTTTCGGGAGGCCTGTGGGTAACATGGACTGGATTAATAAAACATGGAGTGATAACACATGGATTAATAAAACATGAAGTGATATAACAAGGATTTATGACCAAGTAAGAGAAGGTTTTTCCTGCTTTCGGCAAACATGACAGTAGCTCCTGCTTTCTGTCACACAATATTTCCGGTCGGCGATGAAATAAAATAGGGCCAGTTATATTTTATCTTACTTTTTCTCAAAAGGGTCACTTTTGTTTGCCAACAGCAAAAGTATTTCGTATAAAATAGACAGTTACATTAATCACTGAAACTGTCAAAATTGATGTTGTCTTTTGACCAGTGTCGGCGAAGTATCGCGCGCGCGCGCGAGAGAGATACAGGTTGTTTACCATTTATAAAAAAAATTTAGGAAATTTTGGTTGGGAATTTTCGGTCGGTAAGAATGGTACGTGTCGTTTACCATTTGCCTAAAACTTCCGGATTGTCGATATGCCGAGGCATTCCGAAAACGCGTGGGATACTTCGGAAAAAAGTAAAACGCTGCATATTCACAAGCCGACAAAATGGTGAATAACGTTTCTTTACGTTACTTTTTGTCGTTGTTGTTTTCAGTTTCACGAGAGCGTTGTTAGTGGACCTGCATCATAGAAGAAAAATTATATTTGAAAAGTTGACTTATTGGTTCATTACAATCACTAGTTTATTGTTTATTGGCTCAGCAAATTCGTCGTCGAGGTTTAAATTGGTCTAGAGGAGGAATTTTATGTGGTCAGAAACAGGAAAGTTGAATTGCAATTAATTGCAACGAGAACTGTTTAAAGAATTAATTTCCATTATTTTTTCCGCTTTTAGGTTTGTTTGTATAAAATCCCTCAGTTGAGGGATTTATCTGCATAAATCCTTCAAACAAGAGATTTATACAGGGAAATTCCTAGTTAATAGTCGTGAATTCAATTCATCAGCCTCGCTCTTCCCTGCTACGTCATCAAGCCCTCCCCAGACTTTCAGTTTGTTGAATACTCAAGAGGGTAAATTGTACATTGAATAGAGCTTTATTCAAGGTTGTTGAATAACAAAACAAATGGTGTGAATCATGAAATAACATTTCTTAGTATATACTTAAACAGTGGATAGTGTTTTTCGCGTCCCCTGATTGGCTACTGAATCAGTGAATATCCTGCACCATTCACTGATTCACCTCCAGTTGCTCCGAGCGAGCGACACCAAACTCGCGTAAGTTTCGAGCAAGAGCTAAACAAATACCTCCAAAGTTTTATTTGTCGGCAAGAAAAAGCGACGACCGCAGCCGTTCGGTCCTTGCACGCCAAATTTGTAATCGTTGCTGGCAACAGTAAATGAGTTAAAAATCATCATTTTTGTGCTCAATTATCTCACTGTTTTAGTATATACTAAAACAGTTATTCACCTCGGTGTCGGTGACTAGCCACCTCCACTTCGGTGACTAATTGTTATTTACACGCGGGGACTTTAAGCATGACCGCTGTAAAAGAACAAGGTTAGTCCAAGATACTTTTATATCGTCTGTAATTTAAACTTACGCATTATTTTGCTTTTAAAAAGCTTTCTTATATTTTCAATTTTTCCGTCCAATAAAAAGTTTAGACTTGAACATGTGGCTAACAAGTTGATGAGTTTCTTGATTAACGAATTTCTAGGTATTTCCATACAAACTGCATTGAATTCCATGGAGGTATTTCACACGTGTATTGAAACTTAATTGAACCCAATCCAAATCCAACTAAAAAAATGAAATGCATGTTGTTGACTGCAGATGTCATTATGCAGCCTGCACTGATTCCAACCTACTGGAATCTGAATAGGGGTATGCACCCTTGTTGATTATGTAAAATAGCATTCTCTATGTCGTCATGGCATTTCTGAGACACTGGAATGTTCATTAAGGGCTTATAATTTTAAAGTGACTTTAATTTATCAAAGTAAAAAAATTTTTTGGGAGAATAATTATTCACTCAAGCGCCCTTGAATTTAAAAAGAAAGCATCCAAATGGAAAATTATAAAATCAATGAAAACAGGAATTCAATAGTGATCATAAAGCGAGAGGCCGCAGTTGGCGGATAATATAGAAAAAAAATTGGTACCATAAAACTTGATCTTATTTCTTGAAACAGGTCTTCCTTTTCATTCAACATATGGAGTGAATGTCTTGCCTATTTAAACCATTTTCCTTTCTTGGTCAAATTTCTTTGGTCAAATATGTCAACATGTGAAGCATCTTAAGTATGGTTAAGAAAAAAATGCTCCCATCAACTGTGTGATACTTAAAGGAATATCCAGAGAAACATTTGGGTAAAGTGCCCACTTCCAACAGCCTCCTTTCCGACCAGGATCAAAATTCATTTCTAAGCACTTTCTAAGTATTACCTCACTTAATTCGGAACACCAGGTGATTCAAGAAGATGAGGATATTGATGCTATGTTTCTTTTTTCATTAAGAGTAAAGGTTTTCCCGTATCACTCCTTCATTGGGACAAGAAGGGCAAGAGGTACAGGTTAAAATCTGGTAGCGGGACATGCATGGTAACGGGAGACACCAAAGAGAACATGATTGCTGAGGCTTCAGCCCACTTTAAGTTACGAGATCAGATACTCGTTTTTCAAGATGGGAAAGAGGTACCAGAGAACTTTAACATATCCTCATATACCCAGACAAAGATGATAAAATACCCGTCGAGGGCAAAGGCCGGGGAACGACTTTATCTTCTGCATGCAAGTGAAAAAAAAGGTATATGCTCCAATATTACAATATTGTAAATTTTTTTGCAATTTTTTGGGAGACTTACAATACTTTGATGATAAGATGGATGACTTTGCCTTCCACATTGTCAATTTTAGTCACATATGGACATGCACCACATTAAAAAAACCTGGTGCCAGTTTTTCAAAAGGTGGATAGCGCTATCCACCAGATAAATCTTTATTCAGTGGATTAAGTACAATTAGTTTCGCTAATACTTGTCCGCTGGATAGAGATTTATCCGCTAGATAGCGCTATCCAGCTTTTCAACAACTGGGGCTTGGCCTAAGGTGTTTATCTCCCTCAACTATTGAGAAAATATTGGACTTGGTAAATAGACGTCGCCAACTTTCATCGTTGCCTCTATTAGGGGTACCCAACAACTGTTTTCTGTAAAATGTCTGTTCGGAGGAGGAAATATTGCCTAGAATGTTCTTGAATACGGCTAATAATTTCTAGATGAACGTTCCATTCAGGTACAATTTTCGAAGAAAAAAAAAATTCTGTTTACTCCTTATGTTAGGCTAATTTTTGTAGAAAAAGATAACCTAAAATTTTCAGATTCTAAAATCTGATGGAGAGAGGAATAAGAAAAATTCTCACTTTCGTAAAACGTGCAATTGCAACTAAGATTTTCAGGAAAAAAAAAACACTGAAGCCCTCATGATCTCGGAAAGCCTCAAGTTTCCCAAGCATGACTGAACAGATGCAAATTTTATAGTGCCACTTAGAATGCGTTTCTAGAGATCTAAAAGTACCGTGGATAATCTATAAAGACTTTTCAATGCATTTAGGAGGAAACAATTGTTGCGTGCCCTTGTCTATTAACAAGGCCTCAAATCACATTATATTGTTTTACTTTCAGTGAGTTAAACTGTGCATCTCTCATTCTGGGTTGCCCCTTCTAAAATGTTGTGCAATTAGCATATGGTGGAATTTACCATTTTCGGCATTTGATGTAACATCTATCTCTATAGTAAAAGCAATTATTTCATGCCAGTGTCCCCCCTACGACTCTTTATAGTTTGTGATCAACTCATCAAAAGAAATTGTAGGCCAAAAAATATACATTCAGCGTTAACGGATTCAGTGATTACAACGCAACAATGAAATTCCCAGAAGTTATTTCAATATCAAGAGACTCGCTTAAATTAGTTTTTGATATGATGTTGACACTGAATCTTCTTTTAATTGCTTTTCCATGTGACTATGACTTTTGATATTTGTAACATCAAAATTGAATCGCACTTTAACATTGTCTCTCAAATTATAGAGGACAAGAGAGCAGCGGATGCACAACATCACCTCTGGGGGTTCAAGTAGATACAAAAAGGTCTGGTGGAGGTGCATTATATGCACACCTAAAAATAGATCTCATGTTCGATCACAGTAGATTGGACCAGGAAAACAAATTCTTCCCTTTCAAAATAACCCAGCCACCCACCACCTTAATTTTAAAAGGTTAATTCATAGTCTCCCCAACCACTCTGTTGGAGAGACTTTGGATAGTAGTGCTGCACACATATTCTAAAAATAGTCTACGTCTGATAAGACCCACCACATGACTAAGACAAACTTTTCTTCTCACTCAAAGGCGTTGTATCGCGTTTACCGAGTGTTGAGTCAAAAAATTGTTTTTTTTATCGTATTTTTATCTGGATATGGTAAACAACAAGCGTCACAGCTGGGAAGAATGTGAGAGAGACTCAAGGATCCCAGAAAGAGTGGCCTGAATCACTAAATAAATGCGAGAAATCCGGAATGTGGGCTATATAGGTATGTGCCGCTGTGAAGGGTATGGTTTTCAAGCAGTTTCCTCTAGGATGGGGTATACCCCGCCCGAAAGAGGTACCTTTTTCAGGCCTCAGGTATATATTTGAAAGGGAAGGGATTTCACTAGTTATAAAGTATATAAAAGGTTAGGGAAATCTGTCATTTGAGTCTGTAAAGAGGGGCTTACAGATGCATTTTACGGTTGTGAAAAAAAAAAATGGTGAAAACTTCTGTTTGTGTGATTTATTAAAATTTTAAAGACAGTGTATTTTACAGCAGTTTAAAGGGATGCAAAGTTCTAAAGTAGGTATGTCAAAGGGGTACAGTTTGTCAACTGAAGGTATACAAAAGGGGTACTGACCTTTTCTGTCTGTCTTCGTCTGGGACAAAAACTCGGTAGATACACCGCGAACGTTTTCATTGGTAGACATTTTAGTACAGTCTAGCACCTCTCGCTGTTGTGTGACGTAAAAAACTCTGACAGTGACCACCCCTTCAGCCCATCTTCAGTGCCTGTCGTTCTGTCGAATCTCATGGGTTAGGGAATGGGTTAGTCTTACTAATGAAAATTAATGAGGAGAGATTGGGGCGGAGAGAGGAAATCACCTATGACGAAACGTATAGCCTGTGAGCTTAGCTAAATGGTTTCCTGTAAACTTATCAATAACAACATCCCATAGATCGCTCTCTTATTAAACAAAGAGCATTGTGTTTGTTTCTTTCTGTAGGTGTGCTGCTTAACTCCATGACCAATAATCTAACTACTGTACATCACCGTCAAATGACTGACGCAATTTCTAGGAGGGAAGTCTGGGAAATATCAGCTGCAAGCAATGAGATTAACAGCCGGGAACTTCACTTCCGTTGCAGAGATCGATAAATCATCCTTTACAGACAACATACTTATCATCACCGTTTCAACTTGGCTGTTTGTCATCTTTTGTTTGCTGCTAATTTTCTACTACCACTGGCAAGTCTGCCAGTACATAGGAGCACGAACTGGGAATCGCCAGAATAATTTTCTCTCTAACTTTTATTTAAAGCCCTCAAGGAGGCGTAGGTAAAACTTGCTGATATATTAAAACAGACCACCGGTCACGATACTACTACCGATCAAGAGAGTCTGCAACTCTTTTTTAGCTAATGTAGCACAGTACATGGATAACAGAATTGGGTTGAGAAAGATTGAGCAATATGTAATACTAATATGGAGCATCACAATTCTTGATTGGATTTCGTCAACGAGAAAGACCGTAATTTTTGACAAGAGTATGTTTGAAATGGATCCCTGGTGACGTTAGTATAGTCGAACTGTACGGAAGCGAAGCGCAAGGCTCTGCTCTGACGTAACATTTCCCGCCGGGCATTTTTCTTACCAGATCGAAAACTCAGTGAAGCTGGCAATTTACACAACTAGATAACTGTCATTTTTCCAGGCAACAAATGGTCCCGTATTTTTCTCACGAACAATATTGCGAGTGATGTTCACGAGCGCGAAAGCCAGTGAAAATCGCTCCCGGTGAGGAGTGTTGTACCATACAGTATCTCTCTCACATCTCCGACCCTTCCCATAAGCTCCCGACTGCCGCTGAGAAAAATTTGGGACTGCGCGTATTCTGGTACTTTTACATTTTTATACGATCCTATTCCATTCCAACGTTAATTTATTATTTCTCCATCTATTTTTATGCGTTCATATCTGATCCCAAGTTATGATGCTAGGGAGTGATGAGCTCAAGCTGTTGCTCTTATTTGTTCAGTAAACTAAAATTTAGATATATTTATTAACATGAAATTCTCAAAACAAATGCATACATATTCTGTGTTATAAATTCTCAACCAGTAGATCTTCTTCAACCCCCTAAGAAATTTCAGATTATTTTTCTCGGTCTAGTCCTCCACGCAGCCATCAACGGTTCTTTTCTTTGAGTAACCCGGGGCGTTGCCTGACGAATCTGGAACGGCTGTATGCTCTTGTATGCCCTTCTAAGATTCTAAACCACTGAAAGTGGTTAATTAAGAGCATTTTATTTGGAACCCCAACTTTCGTGAAAAAGACCAAATACCTGTTTGTGATTCTCTCCAGTGCCTCCCTACCAGGGGGCTAATATATCCGACCCTACCCTGGCCCATTTTCGAATTTGTTTCCTCTATTGAAGGGACAGCTCTATTCAAGGAAACTAACCCACTACTTCTGGGTCCCCAAAACCCGGGTTTTACCTCAGTCCAGGGAACACCTAAGCACTTAAAACGTGACTGACCATATAAAGGATTTACTAGTCACTTAGTATAATGACAGATTTCACAACATGAAGTTATCCTTGGCAGCTTGGCGCAGTGGTCCAGGAGCTGACCTTCAGTGTAGATGGTCCAGGTTCTACTCTCGGCTCAGCTGTTTTTTTTTTCTTTGTATTAATTTTTTTTTGTTTTGTTTTTGTGTTTTTTAAAATCATATTTTCCCATTTGGCTTGTTTTTCTTTCGCGAGGTTTTTGGAGCGATAATCGTATTTCTAGTAGTGGCTATATAACTTTGGCTTATTCTTCCACTGTGCATGCATTGTATATCGAGATATAAAGCACTTGGAAAGTTAAGAGAGCACTCAAATAAAGTCGCCAGACGATCACCATCTCCTGAAATTCCACACGAGAGCCGCACAAATTTGGGGGTTCCCGCGCGAGTTTGTGACGTTGTGAATTGAGGGTGCACGTGGCGCAGTTTGTTCTAAAAATAGCACATTTGGCTATTTCGAAGGAACCTCGTGGAACAACCAAATTATGCACTGACGAAGCACGCGTGGACGCCGCGCCTGCGATCTCCTACCCTGTATATGGCTCCTGGTACAGCAGATTTCGAGGCAGAATTTAAAGTATATTTCATTTGTTGGTTAATGATTAACAAATGCCAGCCTAACCGGCTCTATTTTAATAATAAGGCGACATTTGCTGACTTGCCTTGGGCTCGAGGTAGCCTGTAACTCTCCATTTGGGGGAGTCGCGAGAAGTAACGCGAGAGCAGCACGCGAAAGGAGTAGCGAGTATCGGGGGTGGGGAAAGAAAGGGAAAGCCATGGCGGACATCCGCCCTGGGGAGAGCTTTCCTCCGCCCCTCGCGGCTTCCTTCGTTCCCTTGCCTGCGTGCAGACGTCTCCTATTTCCTTTGTTGCACGCGGAAAAGGTCCCTTTTCCGCGTGCACCAAAGGAAATAGGAGACGTCTGCACGCAGGCAATTCGTTCCCCTGCGAAAAGAGGTTCCACTGAATTTGAACCGCGCGGGAACTGGGTTAGATTCAGTGAGAGGACATTCCCTGCGAATTACACGACAGTTTTCCTAATGTGTTTTGAAGTAAAGTATCGTGTTGTCGATGGATTTTCTTCTCGCAGAAATCAACAGAAAAAGTAAACAGATCGAACAAAATGAAGTCACATCGGTGAGTTTATTAAGTTTGTGACAAACAGTTATTTTGATAGTGAAAGGTGTTGTCGTTTAAAGTGAGCATCAATCGATTTATGATTACACTGATGATTATGACTCGAGGTGCTTGAACATTTGCATTTAAGCTTACAACGTAAGCTTAATTAAGCTTATGTTTTGAGTTTGTAAGCTGAACAGAAATAATTTGACACTCTTAACTGTTTAAAATAATTCGAGTGTCAAACTGAAAGTATATTAAGACGAATGCTACGGGAGTAATGGATGAAATTGCTTTGTTGAAATTCGTGTGTTGAAATTCATCTCGATCGACCATGCACACTTAGGCAGGGAACACAGGACGAAACAATGGAGATCTATACAATGTAGCATGACGTTGAGTTTTTTAAGATACATTCATCAGTAGTGCTACCCTGTTTAAACTGGAACACCCAGTCAGAGACTAGTGGGACTGAACAAAGAGAAATGAGTTTCAAACGCAACTATATAATGCAGACAAAACTATTAAACTTCACAGTTCAGACTCTTTTAGTGGGAGTCTTTAGTTGTTTTCCGTTTTTGCATAGCCTGACATAAACACGAGAGGGCTCGGAGAATTCGAGACAGTTATGCAAACCCGAGACGAAGTTAAGGGTTTGTATAACCGTTGAGAATTCTCCCAACCCCTCGAGTGTTTATATCAGGCTATGCAAATACAGGAAAAAGTTTTCTATTGCTTTTATAAATTAACTTTCCCTGAGAAAAAAAGCAAAACTCTTTGTTATCGCACTTATTAGGAAAGAAATTCTTACCAGTCGCAAAGTCTTGTGCACGAAGCCTTGCATGTGTAATCAGTTCTTGTTTTGCAAAAAAAGATGCTTTCCAAAATACAGACTTTTTTCACTTGAAACAACTTTTAAAAGTGAAAATAATTGACATAGCATATTTGGAAAGATTTTCCAAGTTTCAGCTGACGAGGCAATGGGTAAATAAAGTAAACTTGTAGAGTTGTCAACTCAAACACTATTTCAAATTGGTGCTTGTGTGATTAGTGCACGAAAAATAAAAATAAAATTTAAACCAATTTTCAAATTTACGACAAACTACAACACACTTAAGTAAAATCCATTTTCAAGTTAAACCAGGATTTCGTTTGTCTCCTATTAATAATAATACTACAGCTCAGAAACAAAAAAATTCTGAATCAAACGAAGTTAAAAATATTGTATTAATCTGAGAACAGCTGTTACCTACATGCTACTCCTTGGATTAACTTACTTGTAACAAGTACAGTCTGAACAGCATTTTTCTGTATTTATTTTTAGAATAAGAAGTACTTTAGAAGAGGTGACCTAGCAGCGAAACAAGCAGAGGAATACAAGAAGAAACAAGAGGTTCAGTGTTAGCATGGCTGCTGTATTCATTTGATTAGGTTCCCTGGGGGTATTAAACTTTTGGTCCTTAAGAGAGAGTGCTTGTTCGAGGCTGGGCGCTTGTTAAATTTTTATTATTTTGAGCAAGTATTAAGTTAATTTTATAATAAAGCAGTAAATAATAACAAAATGTGAAGATGTGCCAGAGCAGAATTTTAACTGTTCATGGAAAGTTTGTTTTAAAAATGGCTTTAAAGAAAACTTTCTCTTCAGAGAATTCTGCAAATAGGTCAGTCGAAAAGAACCAATAAAAACTTAAGTGGACAATAAAAGTATTGGTCATTATTTCTTTACCGCCCAATCTGAGATAGGGCAGTAAAGAAATAATGACCGATACTTTTATTGTCCACTCAAGTTTTTTTGGGGGTAGGGTGGTCAGTAAAACATCAGAAAGCCCCTTTAGGGCAAAGTGTCTCAACTAATTTTGTCACCAATTGTAGGTTAAAAAATTTTCACCTGAATTCAATTTTGACCTGTAATATTTACAATCTTGTTCCCTATGAAAGTAGCAGGGAAAAATCCGTAGAACCTGGCATTTCTTGAAAGGCCTTCTAATATTTTAAAACTTGATCAAAGTTTTCAAAATTGTTTATGATTGCAAAATTTGGTTTTCCAGTGGATTATCACAGAAATTTAGATAGAGAGCTATGAGATGTCATTTAATGTAGACAAAATAATAAAGTATATTTTTAAACTATCACATCACGGACATAGCTAGAACAATTATTACTTCTTGAGAATTAAGAAGATTTATCAACATGAGCAGTTAATACTGCTGGAAGATGACACCTACTATCTGATACTTTGATGGTTACAAAAATTTATGTTGTTTGTTTTTGTTGATTTTAACTTAGGAAAAACTGAAGGAAAAAGAGGTAAGCCAAGAAATCATTTTCAGTCTTTTTTTAGACCTGTTTTTATTTACTCTATTGTTAGAGAAAATAATGTTTGCCTTATGAAATTACAGGAAAAATACGGGAAGAGAACTGCAGAAGATGACATATTTTCTGGATTTAAAAAGAAAAAGGGTGAAGGTGAAGGAAAAGCAGCCATGATCCCAAGAGAAGAGGTGCAGAACATGTAGAATATCATTGGACATTTCAGTGTTAAATTAAGTTTGCATCAGCATTGTTATGGAAATAATTTCTTTATTACCAGAAATGTTTTTAAAAAATAATAATTTTTTTTGTTTTAATGAAGTTATAACATTTTGTTAATTCCCTGTCGTGTGTAAACATACACATGAAATTCCTGACATTGCTTTTATACAAAGAACATCTTCTAAAAATTTGTAATAACCAGTGTTTGGTTTAACGCATGAGAAACAGAAAATTATTTCTTCATCCTTTACTGACACACTTTCATTATTTTTAAGGTGATTCGTCGTTTGAGAGAAAGAGGAGAACCAATAAGATTGTTTGGTGAAAGTGATGAAGAAGCTTGTCAGAGACTGAGGTTACCATTTATTGAATTTGTGAAATACATCTTTGTAAACTATGACTCTTTAAGATAGACAATTTTCTTTTTTTCGTTGACAAACTAAATCAATCTCTCTGCAGGAGAATCGAGATGCTTGCTCCAGAGATTAACAAGGTATGCTCTTAGAATCATGGAAGGAGTAAAATTAATACACCTGTATATTGTAGACACTGTAATAGTAGGATGTTGTTGGGAATGTCTTACACCTTTAATTTGTGAGTCAATAGAAATCCTTTGTCCTTTTTTTAATTAAACTAGCTATAAACATTTTACTACATGAAAAATTAGTCATGCTTAGCAGTTTCTTATATGTTTACCAGGGTCTAAGGAATGACTTCAAGGCTGCTATGGAAAAGATTGATCAAGAATATTTAGCAGAGCTGATCAAGCAACAGGTCTGTCATACTCTTTGTATGAAATATTTTCTTATGAAAGATGTGAATTTACTTAAGAGACTCTAAGTTAACCCATTTGCTCCAGGAAATGTTGCCAAAAGATGCCTTTTGGAGATAGTAATACCTCTCCTCTTAAAATGAACCAAAATGGCCCAAAATGTTGTTTAAGTTTATCACTTCACAGCATTCTGTTTCTGATGCTACATGTTGGCTTCTGAAGTTCAGGCATGCACAGAAAGCAAAATATTTGTCAGATAGTTTTTGGGTTTGAAAGGGACACTTACACCTTGCACATTCTCATTCTCCTCTTTTTTTCCTTTTCTTTTCTTACCTCATATTTTTTTGCTGGACATTAAACCAGGCTTCATATTTGGTAGGAAAGGGGTTTTGGAAAACTTTTGTGATTATAGGATTAGACGGAATATAGTGCAGGTGGATAGTGGGTGGGTAGTGGTTACTGTTTTTTTGCATTTTTATCTGGCCCGTTGAACTGAATCATGCTCATTTGGGTATGGTTAGAAAGATCTCTCCCCCCTGCTCAAGTTAGATTTCAAAGTTGTTGGTGACTGTTAAAACTTATGAAATCACAAGCGGTAGAAGGGACGTACATCCCTACCAGTGGTTATGGGTGGTTCAGGTGTGGATGGGTTAAGATCTCAGGCAACAGAACCGTTTCCTTTGCTGTCACTAAGAGGGAAATGTTCAGTGGCTGTGGAAAAAATGCTTTATTCTCATGATTGTAAAGGCTATATGTTGGCTGTAAAGCAGGTGTGTCGTGGCTGTTTACGGTTAATTTTGTTAGTGTTGCCAATTGCGTGTCCCCCAACACACTATGGAACTTAAATGATAGAGAAGAAATTATCTTGAAAATGACAAAATAACAGCTTCTCCTGTCAAATGATTATGTCTCCCAAGCAATATCAAACTTTACAAACAACAAAAGAGAACTTAGAAAAACTGTTAGGCTAACAAGTTTTTAAAATCCTCAACACAGTATATTGCAATCTATTTTAGTCTTCAAAAAATTGTCTATCTGTGCCCTCTTTTTAATTTTATTTTGCTGTGTTATTTATTATACCTTCTTTCAAAGCTTTTAGCAATTACAGTATTTTTATATTTCACTTGGTTTGGTGTTAACTGTGACTGTCTGAATTTTGATAATTTTCCTGACTCAGTTCTTTTACAATGTAAGCTGTGCACATTTGACACTTCTGATAATACAAAATTAAGATCATGTTTTTCCTTCATGCAGGGTGGGGAGGAGCAAACTAATGAAAGTGAAGAGTCATCACAAGCAGAGGATGACGGAACAACTCTTGAAGATATCAAGGTAAAAAAAAATGCAATTTCTTCCCCCTGCAGTTCTCCTCCTAAAGTTTCTGCTTTGTGTGAGCAATTTATTTCACAAATCATGTTTCAAAACTACTTATTAATAAATAATTTATTGTTCCTCTCACTATTCTGTATAAATTAATGGATTTCATAGCAAAAAAAAAATAGATAGCACTAAGCTATATAAAAATTCAAGATACAACTATATAATCTAATCTAAACTTATCAAACAAGTTAAATAATAAAATGATCATCAGACTCTTGATCATTTATTTATTTATTTTGTATTATAGAGAGCCACAGGTTTATTAGCTCTGGCTATTTGGTGTCAACCATCTTTGAATTTAAATAAAGTCTTTATCTTATCTTCTTGTACATGCATGAATGTACACTCAAGTACATGTATCAATATTGGAAAGAATGACTTGTAAGTAAATTTTATGTGTGGTCAGTTTGAAAGACAAGCAGACGCAGTTGTAACTCAATATTAAGGCTCCTACAACTCATGTACATAACTTGTATAAAAATAGTAACAAACAGTTTTGACTTTACAGAGTTTGGCCATTAACATGGGCAAAGGTGATGAAAACCTGGATCAAGATGTTATATTAAAGTTTATACAGGTTTGTTAATTTGTCAAACACCAAAAAAATGGAAATGGGTTTGCCATTTGTACTGAGTAACAAACTAAATCTTTTCACAGTTCCTCCTTCATCTTTGGGCAAAAGATTATAAAACACGATCTGAAGACAGCAAGAGAAGCTTGGAGGTAAGTAGATAAGAACAGTCAAACCTTGTTGATACAGACACGTGTACTGAGGGGGTCATAAAAATTGTGTGTATTAATGGAGTGTCCACATTAAGCGGATCGAATTTAGAGAAAATGGTAGGGTTTTTTCCCCAGGGACAAAGCAAACTGTCCATAATAATAATGAGGTGTCCGTATTAAGCAAGTGTCCGTAAAGGCAAGTTTGACTGCAATAAGTTTAAAATTTTACACAAGTCCTAAAATCTCTGCATTTGTCTTTTGTGCTGATAATAGTAATTTATAGTGAAAACATTTGATTGCCCCACTGGTTTTAGCTACTCTGTGAGAGTACCTCTTATATAATATAATCTTCATTTTAATTTCTTACAGGCAAAACTGGCAGGTGCCACTCAACGTCAGACTGAATCGTATCTGAAGCCATTGTTAAGAAAACTGAAACATAAGGTCATATTTTCATGAGATATTCTTGATGTATGAGGCCTTAAGCCATGACTTTAAGGAAACAGTATGTGCAACAAAATAAGGGTACTGATTATCAGATCTGGAGGAGCTACAATAATAGACAGATGTCTTTGAGACAGTTATGCAATATTCCCCCCGCCCCCACCCCCTTCAAGTACCTGAGTGTAATTTCAGAATGCCCTTATAAAGCAGTACTATGTTTTTGACAAAGGCTTTGCAGATCTTTCTCCTTCAACCTACTGTATGTAATGCTATATAGGTACATGTACATAGCACACAAACAATCAGGGACAAAAGTCCTTGGGTTAGTCGTTTAGTATTCATACCTACCTGTAATTTCAGGATGCCTACTTAAAATAGTGCTATTTTTTTTACAAATGCCTTGCATGTCTTCCTCCCCACACCCTATGCAATGTTAAAAGTTAGGACAAATTTTCGATAGGTGGGTTTTACATTGTAAGTGAGATGGGAAAGGGGATGTGCATGTGTAGTTTAAAAAAATCGCAACTAGTTCAAATTTGTCCATGATCTTTTTTTTTTAATCACCAGTAGCCACTGTTTATTTTTGGTAGACCAATTTCAAATTTGCATTACACATTTGTTGACATTCATCTCTAGGCCTACCTCCTCCAAGCAAGGAAATTTAACCTCAGTGTAGTAGTTAATGACATCAATGCTTTTATTCGTAATAGTGGCCTATTATATAAGTAAAAGTTCACAAAAAAATCCAAACTTCTTGTTGTAAAATCCTAAGATTTAATTTTAAATACTATTCAAATATTCCGCCAAAGAGATTTCACCTACAGGTTAAACATTGAAAAACCCTCTCCCAGTGGCTCATGGTGGCTTTTTGGAGTTTTAATCATAGTCTTTTGTTCCCTTAACAGAAAACCCCACGGGACATTCTTGCCTTTCTCACCATCATAATCATGAGTTTGTTGGAAAGAGAATATGTCAAGGTATGAAACATTCAAATATTCATGTCTTTGGGTACAAAATCATAAGTACCAATGGGAAATTAGCTGGCCTTATTTGTTAAAGAAAGTTTGAGCAACCAGTAGCACGTACAAGAAACATATTATTCATGATGAGATTCTTAAAGGGGCTATATCTTGCTATTTGCTATCATTTTAGAAAACCAAAACTTGTCTTCGCGTCAACTGAATTTCAAAAATAATGGTCCAGTTTTGTCATGTTAGATGTTATTTAGGCGTTGAAACTGTTTCCTGTTGTCTGTTACAAGGGATAGCAAGGACGAACATGGATTGAAACTTTAAAAAAGTTGCACCAACTTTTTCAAGTTTTAATGTTATGCCTGCAAAAAGCATAAAAAAAATATTGGTTCCCCTCTACTAACTATGGTTTTCCTTGATGAAATTTGTTTGATATAGATCTTCTTCACCACTGTAAAGGTACATTTTGTATTTGGGAAAAGCCACTTGGTAATGACTTCAGCACAGAATTGACCTATAAGAACACTATCCTCGTGACATCGCCCCTTCAAAAGTCTTTGTGGTGTTATCAATCGTGTTTTGTAAAAAGAACTTAAGAACACATAAATTTTTTTACAGAGAGCCATGTTCCTTGTATAATGATCAACAACAGTATTGTACTGTTTCTTTGAAATGTTTTTTTCTTTTTAAACATTTTCAGGCAAATGACTCTTATCTTCAGATGGCAATTGGAAATGCTCCGTGGCCCATTGGGGTAACAATGGTGGGAATTCATGCTCGAACAGGAAGAGAAAAGATCTTTTCACAGAATGTGGCTCGTATCCTTTTCCTTCAGTATGATCATCTGGTACTAACGTGTGCACACCCTGTGGTTACTTTGTTTGTTTATGTAGCGAAGCATACCTAATTTACGTGCAACCACGCATGTCAAAAGCCTCAGAAAACTTCAAAATTATTACGTTAATCTGAAGTGGGTATAAGGTATTGAATACTAACTCATAATGAGAGGCAAGAGGGAATCGAAATGTATTTATCATTCCTTTCCAGTTAAATCACTGTTGTTTCTCTAACTCATCATTTCATCAGATGTCCTCAACGACGAAACACAAAGAAAGTATATTCAGGTATGGCTATGATTGGAATAAGTACAATTTCAGTTTTTTTTTTTCACGGAAATCCTGTGACAAAGGCCACCCTCATGGTTAGAACCACCTGGTACAGCATTATAAACAGTACAACAGGAAAGTACCGCTCAGTAGCTTTCATTTGAATGGTCACGCTTAAGGATTTCATCCACAGACTCAAAAGTTAGAACCACCTTGTACAGCATTATAAACATTACCACAGGAAAGTATTGCTCAGTAGCTTTCATTTGAATGGTCACACTTAAGGATTTCATCCACAGACTCAAAAGTTAGAACCGCCTTGTACAGCATAATAAACAGTACAACAGGAAAGTATTGCTCAGTGGCTCTCATTTGAATGGTCACACCATAGGATTTCATCCACAGACTCAAAAGTTAGAACCACCTTGTATATACTAGGTTTGGCAATTATGCAATGCTTTTGGGTGGTATACCTGGAAATATCCTACGAGTGACTTGATTTTCCTAAGTACACACACGAGCCTTTAATCAGCTTAATAGACAGCACCTTAGTAAAATACTGCTCATCTTTGTGGTGGTAATGTGGGATTTCTTCAAGACAGAAAAATTGAAATCAGAATGTGCAACGCAAAATTTAATTTGATGTTTCCTTCCATATCAGGGTCTCAAACGTCTGATGACATTTTGCCAGAAAAAATTTCCTGCAGATCCATCAAAGTCTGTAGAATACAACGCTGTAAAGTGAAAGAATTCAGAAAAGACGGAAGAATTGTATATCACCGACTTGCTGGAGAAACATCGCCTAAGCCGAAGGATTGCTTACACAACTTTGTTTTGTGGACTGATCACTATGGCAACGGAAATAAACTAGACACAAAATGTTGAAAATAAAATCTAGTGTGTATATATGCAAATCTGAATATTTTATTAATGATCTCAAAGTTCTGGTCGTTCAATTTTCTCCTTGGTTAAAATTTTATTTTCCTTTGGGTAAGTTAATGTATGAAAATTAGTAGGCAAGGAAAATTAAATTTGATCCAATGATAAAAAACTGAACTCATATCAAAGAAACCACTGTGCCTTCCCCTGTAAGGTGTTCATATGAGGGGTGTGACGTTAGTGCACTCTGTTACTTAAGAGTACAAAAAAGATACTTTGTTATCTCAACCCTTAAACGATGAATACTCCTTTAAGGTTTTTCGATACAGTTTTTCAGAGGCCACACCGATATTTTTCAATCGCCTTAAAAGTGGTTTTTTCCTTGTACGATCGCTATAAAATTTTCATCAGTAATTGGCTATGGATTGAAATTTGTGAAAATGTAGTTTTAAGTAAAATCGATATTACTATGACAACAATGAACAAAAAACTTTGAAATTGATAAAAGCCGAATTTTGTGTGAACTAGACCTGCTACTGAAAATCCAACGCTAGGAACTTAAAGTTTGGTGTTTAGCAAACAATCTCCGTAAGAAGTAAAAAATTCTGTATGTTTGAATTCGACTAAAACGAAAGTATATTTCAAACCTTAGATTTTCAATAGCCGTGATAGATCATTTAATGAAAACGATATAAATGACTCAAATTATTCTTAAGTAGCGTCAGAATGATGCTTAATATCATATTTTGATACTAGGAAATTTTGGTGTACTTTCGTTCTTGCGATCTTGAAAACTAACCCGTTTTCTCACCACCTGTATAAGTGCAACTTCATTCAGAATTTGGACTTTTAGCGCTTTCTTGTATATCTCCGAAACGACTCGAACGAATTTTTTAAAAATATTTTCACGTAATCTTCATAATGTATATAAAAAATGTCTGAAACTTTCATTAAGATTGATTCACTGCAACACCTTGAAATTTCAAGACGAGCTATCCTACGAACCGGTCAAAAATCTGCGTTACAATATTCACTGTTTTGACGTTATGCTAAGTTTTCCAAATTAATGCGGACAATACATATATCCATGACTAGTACATTTCAGTGTGAATATTGTCAATGTTTTACATTCAAAAGATGCCGTAAATTTGTGATTGTGAGACACTGGAGTTTGCAATTTTGTCCCTAGAGATAGAATTTTAATGTATCGAACGTGGACTATTTCTGACCAAATTGTTTTTCTCCTTGAACAGTTTTTCTGTTATCTCATCGCGGGTACCTTGTTATATGACTTATATTGCCGTTGCCTTCGTCGGAACTTAAGGTCCCTAATAAAAAAACACTGTTCAGTTATTTCCATCATGAGCCGGTTGAGTAATGTTTGTGTAATCAGGCACACTGTGCGCGGATTGTCAGAATCAGAAAGTATATCTTCTAGCTATCGTACTAGAGATACAATAATATATTCGATATGCTCCGTTAAGGCAAAAATATCTTGATGGCTTGACCGTGGTCAGATCAACGGGCTCGGCGCATTTATTTGTTTGTAATTTCAGTTATAGTAATAATACGACGTTTATCTACTGACCTAACTTGTTTTGACCATATTTCATTCATGTTTTTAAAAAAATATTTCAAACACGCCTACCATAAGAACAAGGCTAATTTTTAGGTTATAAAATAACAGCATAAAATTCCACTGGATTTTGATTCTTCTAGATATTTTTAAATCAAGTCGTTCATCAACTATCCAAGCCAGTTCTTTTTTGCTGAAAACTGACTGTTCGGTAGTAATGTTTAAGGAAATTCTAATCTCCTCGTCTGGGTTCAACCAGGGATTCAACGTAATGTTTAAACAGCTGAAAATTACCTAGAAATTTCGAAAGCTTGGACTAGTTGCCTCTTGGCAGAAAAGTCATACTGACACTTTTAGTATAGACCCAGTCTTATGACAGTATAGAGCCTGGAGTTATCAGGTGCGTACCCTAGAATCCAGAAACAGTTTCGGGCAGCGGCCAAAGTTACTTCGGCGTTCAGCCGACACCGAAGCGTCCCTCCGCACGCGAGCAAAAACCTCTAGCGAAAATGAATTAATGTATTGCAGGAAATCGAATAATTAACTAAATATTTGATAAGTAAAACCGTAAAATCACCCTTGAAAGCGCAAATCAAATAGCAGCAACCACAGACCTACCTAGAGTCTTTCAGAGCAAATTGACTACATCTCCAGATAAAAACACATCATAGAGGATGATGCATCAAGGTCGTAACTCCCCAAAATCAATTCTATATTCCGGGGGAACTATTCAGGAATAAGTATGCAACGAAATTGGTCTTCTTGTTTTTTTATCCCTGGCTCTAGCTCTTTCTCTGTTATTCACGCCAATGTAGACTTAAATTAAGTCGAAAGAAAGAATTGGCTTCGTTGTTGGTGTTTTTTATCTCTAAAAGTCCGGGTGGCCATGCAATTTACTGCCGAAACGCGCGGGTACTTGAAATGCAAAATTTCACCCCGCCTTACATGAAGGGGTGGACGTACGTACGGACGTACTCCGTACGGACGATTTTCTCAGAACCAAAATTTCGTGGATGCATAGTTTACCAAATTTTCTTACCAATGGTGCTACGCTGCTTGCGCTTCGCGCGCGAGAGCTCCGCTATTAACAAATGCATTCCTTGGTCCATCCTGGCGGAGTTTCCGATTTTTTTGAGGTGAGGGGCGGCTGTACACAGGCTAGTCGGAGATCGGTACTCGTGGCTGAGAAAGAACGAATCCTGCGAAAATTTTTGTCGTGAACAGTACTAATTCGTTTTTTTTCTCTTAAGTTCACGGACAAGAATATTTGTACAGAGGCAGAGGTTTTCTAGCCTGTGTTGCAGCCGGCCCACTCTCTCGTCTAAACCATTTGTATAGAAGGTTTAGAGCGTCTGTGACGCAGGCTAGCAGGGCTCCGGAGCGCTATTTCCTTTGTTCCACCAGAAACAAAAGAAATATATATTATATGAGATGTGTCTGCTCGTAGGCTTTAAGCTATTTAATTTTGGAATCTTTTCTATACTTTTGTTGCAATAGAAAATTGGTTCTGCTAAGAAATAAAATTGAAGGATGACTATAAGCTTCATACGTTAGGTATTTTGGGCTTTGGGGGCCTCTGTCGGGGGCACCCAACGTCAATTTTTGGAAAATATCTGTTCGAAAGACGATTTGAGATCTAGAATTTTCGGAACATTTGTTGTAAAATTTCTTGCTTGCCTGCCTCTTCTAGGATTTTCGAGCATCTAAAAAATTGTATAGTGCCCATTTTTAACGGATTTTTAGTGATTTTTACCCTAAAAAGGTCACCTAGAATTTTCGGGAGCCTTTTTTCGGGCTGAAATTTTCGAAAAGGTAAGTTTTGATTCCTATAATTTTCGGATCACTAGACTTTCAGCTAGGAAATCCGAACAGATGGCAAGTTTTTAGGGGACAAAAATATGCCCATATCTACCGTTTAAATACTAAAATATGATCAACAATGCATGTTTAAGTGATTTTGAACGGCGTTGCTAAAACGAGGGTAAGGGTAACACAAAGGGTAAGGGTAAGGGTGGGGGTAAGGGAAAGGATGAGGGTAAGGGTAAGGGTGACTGTTAAGAAGGCATATTGTCATTAATTCCCTGTCATTAAGCATCATCTGGCATATTATTGGAAAACGGTGCTCTTTAAAATGAAAGGCTGGTCCAGGGCTGTTCTAATTTCAAGGTTTGGCTAGCTTTCGCGTTTCTGTTGCAGTTAAGTATTTCCAACAACGTGACCGCAAATTAATTTTTTGGTCTTGAAAGGCTTGAATAAAGGCATGGATTAATAGTCTTTGATCGTTCTCTGTACACTAAAGGACTGTTTATGTGGGGATGTGGGACCCTGGGTTGGCGAGGTGATCTGCGAAAGGGTTAAAAAGCAAACCACCTTTTCATGCAATCTTCGAACTTCCACAATCCCTCATGTTACAAAACATATGCCGACAATCTTTCAGATATGTTACATTTGGAGACGAGCAAACTGTACATCTAACACTGAGTTTCCCTTAAAAAAGGCAAATTTATGGTCTTCAAACCGCGCCAAGTCCAAGACGTACGAATTGTAAAATTCAAAGAGATATAAAGTATAAAGAAGACAATTTTTGGGGGAAGAAATTTTGGATGAAAATCTAAATTGGAATTCCCACAACAATTCTCACCCCCACCCTTACCCTTGGTGTTACCCTTACCCTCGTTTTAGCAACGCCGGATTTCGAACTATATTCTCGTTGGGTGCCCCTGCTCTGTGTTTACGCTGCAGTACTTTGCCAACTGCAGGGCTATGAGGAACTATAATTCAAGACCGGGCCAATTTACTGAGTTGATCTTAACTCGAGAAAAGAATTTCAACTCAACAAATTGGCCTACTCCCAGTGTATGGGTCTTCCATATAGCTCAAGGTTGAGGACAAATATCCGAGGTTCGACCACGGCAATAGCGTATACCAGTTCACGGTTAAAACAAACAGTTACTACATTCCCTGCGGAAATTTCTCTGATATTTCTCATGTTGAGACTTTATAATGCTTTAGACTTGATTATATCTCGACTTATGTTCATGAATTCTCAACATTATCAGCTGTCAGCGCCGACAGCGTATACCTATTACAAATATCGTATTAACTCATTCTAATGTCAGCGCTACAAGAGGGTTGTTGTCAAAGGAGCCAAGCCGAAGTGGACGCACGTTACATCTGGGGTACGTATCACAAGCCACGGAGCTGGGGCCGACTTTGTTCAACGTCTTTATAAATGACATCACTGAGGCAGGGCAGAAGAGAGGTTTCCTCAGTCCTCCTATTCAATTAAGTACAGAATTCTCTCTACACCCCTCGAGGGTCTGTCTGTCTGCAACTACTACGGGTCTTTTACCCACAACAAGCACCTTGTCATACATTAGCAAGAACCAGGCACTGAAGAACAAACATCAATTTAGTTTCGTGGCTAGAGCAATGAAAATTAACATGAGCAAAAAAAAAAAACACGGTAGTCTAGCCATTCAAATAAAACCTCTAAGGCAATAAGACTTAAATTCGCGATATGGCTGTAGTAATTGAAATAAGACTTTCATAGGTTTACAGTAAGTTTGCCACTTCAGTCAGATGCTAAACTTGGAGAGTTTTGCGATGCTTTGTCCTTTAACAGATTCTGCTTAGGCAAAAGCTTCAACATATACATAACATTTTGTATTTATTCTTGTATTTCATTTATATTAATTTTGCACACATATTTTTGGAAATCACTTTTTGTCTTTGGCAAAACCATTAAATTTTGTGAAAACTACCCCTTAATACAAGCACCATTTTAAAAAGCTGGTATCACCAGCAGTACTGTTGCACGGTAGGATTAAAAATTATTGTTAAATAGAGTCCAATGAGCCCTGTTTGCGGCACAGTCAGCTTTCAAAAGCTTGCCCTGCTATAGTAAGCTAGCCCCTACTGGTTTGCCACCAACAACTGCATTTCATAGGGGTCCTTGAAAAAAAGCTCTAAGTGACCTCCAATTAACTTTTACATTCTCTTTCCAGATTGCCTTGGATTTGCTATTTAAAGAATGTGAGAATTTGACATTCGATCCAACTTGTCCTCAAAGACTCAAGGCAGGTAATCAGGATGGCATATTCACAGGCAAAAATTTTCCAAGCAAAGTTTATGAGACAAGCAGAAAAACTGGCTCCACATGTTGCTGAGTCTCAAAAGATTGATAAAAAATTGCTTTGAACCTTTTCCACACTGTTATCTGTCTTATCTGAAACTAAATTTTAACTTTGCTACGATCATCATGTGATCAGAGGGAAACATCTCTTCTGGTATTCTACCATTCACAGTTTCTAAAGTGTCCTTGAGTGATGTCATAGTAATTAAGTACAGTGAAATAACTAAAGTGATTACAACCAGTCCAGATGTTCTGTTTGACCATAAGAAAAGTACTCTAGAATGTGATCGTCTTGTCCTGACCATGCACCTTGTCATAAGAAACTTGAGTATGAGGTATAAAATAAATATTGCAGATGCTACAAATAAAAGACCAATGAATATAAAACTGTGGTAATGTTCTGCATCACACTCATAGCAAAAAGGCAGTTCGCAGTTATTTTTGTCACCACCCTTAACACAAACACCACAGCGACATGACCCGTGAGGACCACAGTCTTGATGGCATGTGTATTTGAATCGTGGACCAAGAGCTGTTTCTCTTGCCATCCGAAACACTGTTTTGAGTCTCTGCCACTTATTTTGTAAGCTGTATTTGTCCTGATAGATTTTTCCATCTCCAAGAAGTTTTGCAGAGACAACTTTGAGTCCAGTCAAAGAAACCAAGATTCTATCGGGACGGCTCACCGGCCCTGGTTCAGGCTGAAAGATAAAATGAGTAGAAATACATGAGTTAAGCAGCATTTAAGTTGATATGTTTAAGTTTCAAAAATAACAAACCCCACCCCTCCCCCCCTAAAGTAGTGACCCTCTGAATGTAGAGAGAAAATTTTACAGGTGTTTGCAAAGCCTGAGAGTAACAACCCCCCCCCCACCCCCGCCAAAAATGACCCTCCAAAAGTGATGACTTTAAAAGTGATTTCCCTTTTTTGCAAGAAATAACAGGAATGATGGATATAACAAGCTTTATCAAAGTGATCTGAGGTTTACTTCTGACAATTATAATGATCTTCAACATTCCTAATCAAAGGACAATATATAAATAATCCTAAAAGTACAATATATAAATTTTTTCAAAAAGTATTTTTTTCATCTATGAATACCCATACTAAATGTTATTCAAAACAAAAACGTGAAATAAGTTTCTCCAAATAAAGAGTGTGGATGTTTTCACATTTGTTGCAATTTTATTACCGTAACTTTGAACAGTCCATGTATGGTACACATTTTAGCTACCCAAAAGCAATGACCTCCCAAAAGTAGCGACCCTCTGAAGTAGTGATAGGAGAAGGCTGCTAAATTCAAAAGTAACAACGGTTATTACTTTCAGAACTTTATGGTAATCCCGTCTACTCTTTGAAAGTCAAAGAAGGGGTGGTCTATGTATTGTTGAATGGCATAAGAAATGGCTAAGAACTTGCCGGATTTTTACTCCCATACATATTTTCACAGTTTTTTTGCAAAGTACAGTGAAAAAAATTCCGAAGGCTGAAATTGAAGGTGGCCACAAGCTCTGCTAACAAAATGCATGCTAAAATTCAGTGAAAGAAATATAATATTACTAGAGAATAAGTGAAGTGATGTTTAAATGATGCTTCTTACATGAAACACCAGAAAAAGAAAAGCAATGGGAATTACTAGCAATACTGTGATGTCAAGTAGAATCTTTCCATCTCCCACCACACTTCTCTATCCCTAACCAGGCTACATGAGCCCATTGCTTAGTGAGTGAATAAAAGCCAAAACTTACCATGTTACTGAATGTGTATCCTGCACTGTCTCCATTTGCGGTCACCCACGCATCCACAAAACCATACCCCTGACTGGAACCCTGGGGTTCAAAATAGTGCAACGGTTTACAGGAACCGTCCTTGTCAAATGAACCATTCATTATTCCATTCAATGGCCACGGAAAGTCACTATAAGCATTAAAATCTCCAAGTAACACTGAACGTTCACTTCCCATGGAGGCAACATAGTTGATGACGTCAACAGCATTTTCACACTGTTGTGCTTTGTCATACGATAAATGAACAATAGTTACATCAAACTCATCTCCGCTGATATCAACTTGAGCATGAAGAAGAACTCTTTTATTTTTGTCAGGGCTTGCCTTGCCGACAGTAAGATTGACAACATGACTTAATATTATGGGATGCTTACTAAGAAGGCCAAGTCCCTCCTTTTCCCACCCTGGAGGCTCTTGTTGGCCCAGTGAAGGAGTAACCATGGTAACAGGGTGATAAATCATGTATCTGTATTGCGGAATTAGCTTTTGAAGTTCACTTAGTTGATTTTTTCTGCCATTAGCATCAGATCGCACCTCTTGAAAACCAATCACATCTGGATTAGCTATTTTAATCTGCAAATAATGAAAATACAGATGCTTTAGTATATATACATGTATCATGTGTTTACAACAAAAAGAACAAATAATTTTGAGTCATTGGAATTCACAGCTTGTTCTAGGTTTTGCCACTTCCTGTAAGGGCTTACCCTCTACTCATCCTCTGTCACCTATCTCAGGTTCAATTTTCTCTGATCTAATACCCTGAGTCCCACCCTTTGTAACAGCTCTACCTCTTCCCTCAGATCTGATTCTTCCTGTGGGTCCCACCCTCTGTGACAAAACTGTCCACTTCTTTTTAACAATCTCTTCTGTTCTCTCACCTATGATTTTTCCATGAATGAACACAAACCACCACCTTTCGTCTATTTTTTTCTTTGTTCTCCTTCATAAACAAATTAAATACCCAGTAGGTTGCACTGATAATAATCAAAGAGCAAACAATATACCAAAGTTGTTTTCTTGTTTCTTTAGTGGGAACACTATCATATAAATAGCAAAGGTTGATAAAAAACTGAATTAATGGCAAGGCAAAAATTATACATAGCCTTATCAAGGGAGAAACTTTTAGACTTCAAATCATCAAATTTTTTGTCACCTGTTCAGTTTTCGTTCCTTTACCTGCTGGAATTTTAAGACTATGAAGTAACAGATAGAATTTGTTTGCATGCTTTTGAAGAGAGTAATACAATATTATTTTGGTCCGACTTGTTATATTTCCTAAAAACTAAAGGAATAGTGGGGAAGGATGAGAAGGATTGTTTAAGGAAAAGGAATTGAGACCTTAGCTACTTTTGAATTTGCAAACAACTTCCATACTGATCAATATACTCCCGTATTGGTGGTGAAAAATCACTGGAGTGGAAAAGTAATAACAATGTTTTGATCATAAAACAGTGGGGTTTTCTTTTTCTTATTAACCTTAGGCCTGACAGGGAAGTTGTGGTGATGTAAAAAAGAAGACTTAAGCGCACTGGAGAACAATATTACTTCAAGAAATATAATTTAGTTAGGTCTATTAAAACTAGGGAAATCTAAGAATTACCATTTTCGCTATGTACTGTTTTCTGGTATCCCACTGAAACATGACATTCCAAATATTGTAGCTGGCCACCGTTACGGTTTTTTGTCCAAAAACTTGACGACTGACGAAGAAAAACCCGGAGAAAGGTATCACCCATTGCCAGAAGAATCGAAGCGCCATGATAACTCCTTGTCAGTTTGTTTTGGAGAATGAGTAAGCGGTTTTTATAGCCCGCTCTAAGTATGTCATATAACTAGCAACAAAGTGTGACTCAATGAAACTTCAGTATCATCTGTAAGCGGTTGCTCCCAAACCCACAGGAATAGAGTACTAAAGTGATGACATCCTAAAAACGAAATTTCTGACATTATGGGATTTGCCAGGATATTCTGAAAGAACAATGTCCAAGATCAGAGGCCTACTTGCCAAAAATGAGCATTTCAAGGCAAATAATTGTCTCTGAGATCGTAGCCCAGTTATGCTTAGAAAACTCCATACAAACCCTTGTAAATTTTTTGGGGTCGACCCCCCCCCCCCCAAAAAAAATTAGAATGGTTTGTATGGAGTCACAGGCTAGGAGTTGGGGGCAATTTCCCAGCTGGCAATCAAGCACACATTTTTTCATTGCAGCTGACCTTTTGCTCACTCATTAACATGGCAATAATGAGGGATTCTAGATAATCTGTTTCCTTTAAATCTCCCAGCCTTTTTAGCAGCAGTAGAAGTAAAGTCGGTCAGACAGATCCTTCTCCTCTACCAAGCCTGTCAAAGTGTGCAGCTGGTACAGAAAAAAGGATCACACTCACACAAGATCTGTAAAAACCAGCAAATAAGAATTTACACTTTCGCCTATACAGTGGGTTCTTACATAAATGGTAATTAGCACAAATTTAGGCTATTTAGGTTCTTAAATAGTTTCTCATCTTCTACAGAAAAATATTTTTTAGCAAAGAGTATTTAGTGGTCTTCAGCTTATTCCTATAGAAAATCTGTATTCTAAATTAGTATTGTAGTTGGAGTAATAATATACCTGCCAACTATTTTTGAGTCAAATGTGTGAGGTTTTTATATCGTTATGTCTGGAATTTCCGAACATTCCCGACGATTTTCTGAGGACTTCCGAGCAGTGCTGTAAGTTTCAGAAGAAGTTCCGAAGACCTTTGAATGACGATATTTTAGTGTGTTGTGGTAAAGTTAAGTGCATTTTTGGATTCAGGAATACAGTATTGAATTTAATTTTGTTATCAGTCATGTGTTAAAGAACAATTCATCCAGATTTATGAGTCAGGCGTTGGAACTTGTCCTTGATGCATGAGATCGATGTCTCAAGTCTGCAGGCATGAGACTCGCGCATAATGCGTGAGAGTTGGCAGGTATACTAGGCATCAGCATCTCCAAAGAGGATCCCGAATGTTGACTTATCTTGTCTGCCCAAGTGTACAATTTTTTTTTCATACATTTAAGGAAATAAGAACCTGTTTCAAATTTTGGGCTAAACAGCTTCTTGTATTGAGGGCGCCTGATTGGCAAATTTTAGCCCAACACGTTCTTAAACCAGGTTGTTAGAAGTGGGTTTTTACCGCAGTCTGCATTGTTTTGTTTGGGTAGAATACATGTACCTACTCCTTAACGCATTTAAGTAGAGCGTCAATGCTTCCATCCAACAGCATGACCATCTTCCATCTGAGGTTCTAGAAAACCACGGAAGGTTGATCCATCATGACTCCAGCGAGCACCATATCCTTCTGAACACCTCACTTCAATCACCTTAAGATCATGGGGCAGTAGATGAATGTTGATCCATGATGAATCATTTAATATTCGATTTACCACTGTGTTAGCATGCTCATTCTTGACTTGTTCACTTCCTGCACAGGCACCCCACCATTCACTAGTAACATCTCTGTGGCAATGCTTTGACAGTGCCCGGGCCCCAACAGTCAAATTTGAATTTGGTTTATGTTTCTTACTGAATGATGCAAGAAGTGATGACACTGAAGGTGGTAAAACATCAACACTCCCTTGAGTGTGACAGATATTCAACAAATCAAGAATTCCTCTGATGCCAAGAAGTTTTAGTACTAAAGTTAACTGATGAGCTTTTTCGAAATCAGAAGTCTCTGTCCAGGAACTCCTGAGAGCTTCAAGTAGCGGTGTAGTTTTCTTTGTCATTTCCTCTCGTTGAGCAATAAAATCTCTTTCAGTCAATAAACCACAATCTTTACTTTTTACAGGAAAATCCCCATTTTCCATCCACAGCAGTAACTTTTTGCAAAGTTCAATATAAAGAGGGAACTTTGGATACTTTCCTGTTTCTGATGTTAAAGGAGAAATAGATTCTTCAGGATTCAGTAATCCCTTGCAATGTTCAGCAGGAAGTAAACCTGTCTCGACTGCTATTTCCTGTTCTAAGACGCTCTTCAACAAAGCACTGAGATTATTTATTGACAACATAGTTAGGAGACGTGCCATTGTCGCATATACAAGGTGGTTTTCTTTAATTAGAGGCCAGTCCCCGAAGTGCTATTTCTCCGCTCAAGTTTCAAAATGGCGTCTGATGGTAAGTGAGACATTAACAGTTTCGGTTAAAAACGATCTGTATTCATTTAAAAGGGATGTATTTGCTGATTTTTTTCCTACCTAGACGAGATCATTCGGAAGAGGTTACTGATCGATGGTGAAGGCGCCGGTGATGATCGCAGAATCACTGCTCTATTAAAGACGTTTTTAAAATGGTGTAATTCAACCGGAACAGAAGAAGGCGATAGGTTAGTGCTATTTCTCCTCTTTTTTTAAATCTTTTAATCTTGATTGATCCTTTGGTACGTCTGGCCTTATTTGAGAGAGTTTTTGAGTCGTTCCGCTCACGTTTTAGGTCGTTTCACTGACGTGTTTTTACTCGACTACTTGATTTTTTCTTGTTAAAGATGATAAAACAACGTGGTGTTTGCAGGCAGTGAAATAGCTGAAATACTATCTGTAGTAAACGCAAACATTTTCAGGTTGTTTTTTCGTTGATGTCACAGTTCTTTAACCCGTGTCATTAGCATTAGTAGAAGAGTATTTACCCAAAATAGGTATCATGTTTATGGTAGGTTAGGTGACAATAGGTGAATTGACTGGCGAAATACAAGACTATGTAGGTAACTATTTTAACTTCGGCAGGACTAACTCAGGTGCCAGAGAACTTGACTGTAGGGTTGGAGGTCATGGGTTTGATCCTTAGGGCTGGACTAATACCAAGGGTCTGCAAGTGGCCAGAGCCTTATCTGGCTGTCCCATCTCCAGTAAGAATGTGAATTTTTTTTAGTGTCCTCAATTGGTTCATGTACTTTTATACTAAATACATTGACACTGTAATAAAGTGCGTTTTTCATAGTCTTGCATACGTATATAGTAGGGGCTTATTGCCGCTCATGGTAACCAAATATCTGTTAATGTCTCTGTTCCTTCGCGATGCATGTTAAATGCATAACTTAATTATAAAAACAAATAATAACAAGTTGGCGTTAATGGGGGAGCACTGTCTTGCGCTAGGTTAGCCTAATGCGACTTCCGGCGATGGCGTGACCAAAGAACCTCACTTATCTCCCCAGCACTACGAGCTGAATGCAATACAGCACGTGCTGGATCGGACAAGAGTATCGGTTTGCAGGTGATATTAAACGGCAACGCGGCCAACAAGCTTGGGGGAAGTCGCTGCGCAGACTTAACCGCATGGCGCAGGAGTGTCCCTAGTTTATTTGACCGCATAGCACAAAACAAAGCCCAAACCTCGTCTCCAAAGGGAGGGAGGGAGGGAAAAATTTACAAGAATCGTATACTGAGCGCTAACTTTGCTGAATAACAGAAGCCAAGTGAACTCTGAACACTTGTTCTGGGCTTTTATAGCTAGACAAACGTCTGCTGGCATAGCCAGTAGAAAAGGCTGTACTACAAGACAGCTCAGCGTTGCACGTGCGAACTCTTAGCCATGAATAGTGCATTGAAAAGTTGGCCAATGTTGTGGATCGTACTAGCATGCTAAAGACAACAAGGCTGTAAAGTACTACGCTAGAATACAATGTATCTTAGAGCTTGCTGACCTTGGCAGCTTGACTACACAACTGCTTTATTCAAAAGGAACCGCCATGAAAGGGTTACTGATAACTGGCATCATGTTCCATTAACTACATTTTATTTGCGTGACAGTAAAATTGCTTATAAACTTTGAAATCCTTTTGTTAAATTTCATTTTACAGTGATGCTACTTATCAGAAGATGCTTATACAGCTTGCTCAATGTGAATTTGCAATTGGCAAGACTCAGACTGTGTTTGAGATGAATGAGCTTGAAACTGAGAACTATGAGAAAACCTACAGAGAGATTGGTAAGTACAAGCCATAGAATGAATAAAAAACTAATCATAGAAAAGTTAAAAGGGCTCTGTCATGGCTGTCTGTCTAGTTTATTTGGTTAATATTATAAGTAATGCATCTTTATTTGTAAAGGTACTTAAAGTTAGCAAGGAATTTTATTTCACGGTGTGGGCACTCAAACTGGGACACTTGGAAGAAGATTGCCCAATCATTAAGTCTTTTTTTCTGAAGACAAAAGATTCTCAAGTTTTTTTTACAAATGAATCAAGATCATTCATAAATTTGAGGGCTGTTTCCTGAGCGGTCAGGTATGTTCAAACAGTTTTAAAGTCTTCAACAGAACTTGAATTGTTGAACCTTGAATTTTATTGGTCCATTTTTAAAAGAGCTTGAGAGTCTTTGTTTTTAGAAAATGTTGTGATTGGACAATCTTCCTGTCCTGGTGTCCTGGTGTGAGTGTCCACACTGTGCAGCGTGCAAAGAAAGTACTGTCCGATAGCCCGGGGCTAGTGGATTTTGCTGTTGGGCTAGTGAATTCTGTTTTTAACTTGCCCGATGGGCAAGTGATGTTTTATGAGGAATTTGAATAACAGAAGAACAAAAAGTTTTTGGGGCTAGTTGAAATGACGTCTGGGCTAGTAAATGCTAGCTTCAGCTTGCCCAAATGGCAAGCTGGAAAAATGATTTTCTTTGCACCCTGCTGTGAATGACAAAATAACAGCTTCATATCAAACAAATACAAAAGGCGTATCTCTCCCAAAGTGTTATATCAAACGTTACATCAGCAAAAATGAACTTTGAAAAACACTTGCACTAACAAGCTTTCAAAAATTTGAATTTCAATCCATTTTGATCTCTTCATGTTTGTCCATGGCACCCATGCCTTCTTTTGCAGTTGCCATGTTATTTATACCTTTCACACAATTTGATGGCAGTTCTCACTGTTTGAATTTTGTAACATTTTTGACACAGTGTCATTGAAGTTTCTAATGGAGTTCTCAAACTTATTAATTATTAATAAGTTTGAGAACTCCTTTAGAAACTTCAATGGAGCTGTGTCAAAAATGTTACAAAATTCATGCAGTCGAAAGCCAATAAAATTAATTATAGCCATTTGGCTCAGTTGGATGAATCTTGATGAAACACCAGATAAAACACCACCAGTTTTTTATCTGAGATGATATATGCCTTTCAAGTGAGATCAGACACTCGCATTTTAATGAGATGTTTTATTGGTTCTGTAACACAACTCATGGAAAGAATGCAATACCAGAGAAAACATGTCACTGTATAATTTCTAACTGTTTCATTTGAGAAGACATGTTAAAAATTTGGTTTTCGTTCTTCATCACAGGTTTCAAACTCGGCCTACAGCTCGTGTTTTCATCTGTATTGTTTCATGGTGTTTGGAACCCTTGATAAAGCACTTCCTTGGCATATTACTTACAAGTTTATGAAGTGGCATCCTTTTTCTGTGTCAAACAATTTCTTTTGTATTCTGGGGCAGATGATTTTTCAGCCACTTTAGATCCACAGAAACTTTTATTGTTGTTTGTCTTTATTTTGAAGGTACATGTATTTATAAAGTAATGTTACTTGATATTTCAGAACAGAGTATTTCACATGCCTATCAGGAAATTGCAGCATGTAAGACTGAACTGCAACAAGCAAAAAGAATACGGAGAAATAGACAAGGTCTGTTTATTTTGATTTATCGATTGTCCAAAGTAAATATTGTTACCTTCTGTTACATTTTTAGAGTGCTTATTGAAAATCCTAGTTAAAATATACTTAATATACTTAGCCTGTGTAATTTATTCTAGGGTGACAAAATAAATTTATGCTCTTTTGTTGGCCCTATTTGATTTCTTCAGAATATGATGCCCTTGCCAAAGTTATAAGCAAGCATCCCGAGAGACAGGAAACACACAAGTAAGTGATGAATCTCTTTTATTGCGTATTGCATGCATTCTGACCAATGAAAATCCAAGTGGAGATTGGAAACTGGAAACATCATTTTGATCCAAAGTTTCCTCTTTGTTGTTGTTGTGTTGTTTTGTATGGCTGATGTACTGCAAACATATTGAGCAGTGTGCAAAGAAAGTGATGTTCATTAGCCCAGGGCTAGTGGATTTTGCTATCAGGCTAGTGAATTCTGTTCATAACTTTTGCCTGATGGACAAGTGAGGTTTTTTGGGGAATTCAAATAATTATTACAGAAGAGCCATAAAAAATCTTGCTCATGAATAGTATTTTATGGGTTAGTTGAAATGACTTTTGGGCTGGTGCATGCATCTGGACTAGTAACCAGGAAGAAGTTCATAGGTTCAACTCCTGTTGCGGGAACTCAGATCTTTTCTTCCGGGCTGCCTGCATTACTGATCGAAAAATCATCTTTCTCATGTATTCACTAGGCTCAAAATTTACCATCACATCTCTACCATTGTGCATAATCATGATAGTTATTGACATTTCTAGTCCTAACAGTCTGCTGAATGTTTGTCACATGAACCTAGTTTAATGGCCTTAATTCCCATGAGTCTCCTGTAGCTCAGTGGTAGAGCATCTGGACTAGTAACCAGAAGGTCATAGGTTCAACTCCTATTGCAAGTACCTGGATTTTTCTTCCAAGCTGCCGGTGTCAGTGACTGAAAAATGTTCTTTCTCTGATGTTTGAATGGCAAGCTGTGAATGCACCCTGAGTGAGCAGTCTAGGCTGGAATTTCTCTGACTTACCCACAGTGCTTGAAACATGAACTACTCTCTTCTTCCTTAATGCATCAGTCAATTCCAGCTGCGCCAAGCCACCACCACCACCACCAAATGCCCCACCCCCGGGACTGACAAGGCGGGCAAATGCCCGCAGGTGGAATTGACTGATGCATAATTCATGAGCTTTGGTTCCATTTAGGGTAGCAAATTTTTGATCAACTCAGCCGATAGAATCACATTTTTGTTTCTTGCTCCTTCGCCAATGCAGTGCTTGGCACAGTTTCTTTAGCAACTAACTTCTTTATTTGAGGTTGTGATGAGTCAGTACATGTACCTTATTCTATAGTTTGAACAGGGGGAGGGGTGGGTGGCTAGCAAGACAGCAACCTCGTCCCCAGGGTCTTCTCGTTTTCCAATATGGCGAACGAGGTTGGGAATACAATGAACTGTTGTTTAGTCATACGTGTACTTTTTCTCACAGACAAATAGAGGGACTTGACAAGGAGCTTAATTCTCTAACCGAAACAAAGGAGAGTCTTTTATCCAAGGTAAATTAATTAATTTCATCATTTTCCGTTTCTTTTGCATACGTAATTGACTTTACGAAAGAGATGCAATAGAAAAGGACTGAAGAAAAACATTTGAACCATACGTGGCAGTTCACCTTAGAAAGGTCTTCAAGAAAATTACAGTAAAAACCTGTGACTAAGAACCTGCATCTTCCCAAGTTCGCCTCAATAGGTTCTTACATAAAATAATGGTAATTAGCACAAATTTAGGCTCTTTTGGTACTTGAATAGATTCTCATTTTCTGAAGGAAAAAATACATTGTAGCTAAGAGTATTTAAGGTATTCAGATTCCTTAAATAAAATCTGCACATCAATACATTGCAGTTGGAGTGATTAGGCACCCATGTCTCCAAAGAGGATCGAGGAGGGGGGATAACAGGCAAATTTTATCCTGACAGGTTCTTAATTTAAACCACGTTCGTAGTCGCGGTTTTACTGTATTTCTTAGATACGGCTGCCTTTTCGAGCTGCTGATGTCTGGTTAGAAAGTCAATCCATTATAATTGTTGTATGTTGATGTACGCGTTTTTATTCTTTTCCTTTTAGCTGGAACTTCGGCAGAAACAGTTTCATCTTCTTATCAACACGATTCATGAATTACAACGGATGTTGGAAGGTAAGTGTAACGTCGTTGATTTTTCAATGTGGGGTTACTCTTGTAATTCTTAAAACCCTTTAAGTACGAAAACCTAGTGAAAAATTCCAGTCGTCTTTGCTTCCCTTCTTTTTTTCCTTAACCGTCGTTTGTGTTTTCAGAACTTTATAGGTCGGTAAGTCGGATTAAAAAAGAGAAAGAAAACAACGTATAGGCTTGAATCAGGAACTGTAGAACTGTTTTTGGTGAAAATGAAAGAAGCTACAGCATAGCTTGTTAGCGTTTTTTTTGTGAAAGTTTACCTTTGCTTGAAAATTAAATTGGTTCCTGTTTGTAACGTTCAAGAGAACAACATTAAAAAAATATATAATAAACTTGAGTTTAGCAGTAAACGCATTATTTTTCCCGTTATTTTCCGCTTTCTTAATTATTCCTTATCATTTGTTTCGAAAACGTCAAAATTTCATCGACGAGACGACAGTTACAGAGAGTAAAGTGCGGCTGGATGTCCTTTGATAACAAATCAACTCAGTCGGGTGTCGTTTTGTGTTTGAGCAGCGTAAAAAAAACAATTACGAGGTTTCAAAGCGTTCACTCAATGGTAACCTGAGGAAACAGCCGACATTCCGCGACGCCACTACTGGTTTCTCCGCGAAACGACGTCTGAGAAGCGAGCGCAGACGATCACGCGCCACTTTCGAGATCTGGCTAGTGTTTCTGATTGGTCGAGCCGCGTGGGAAATTTGCCTCAACCAATCAGAAGCATGACCCCGTTTTGGGTAGTGACGTATCATCAGTATGGAATTTCTGCGATCGATTCTTAGACGTCAATTGGAGGGGAAACCGGTGGTGGCGTCGCGAAATTACATCTGTTTTCTCAGGCTTGGTCAGTAGCTGTGTGTGGCGGGGAGGAAGAAAGTGCAACTTCCCCCCCCCCCACCCCCTTAACCCTATGCTAGTTCAACAGTCCAGTTAACCTGCAGGTGATCCTTCCCTACTCGCTCAGTTTTCTTGTTCCACGAACGCCTCGTGCTTCGCTCGCCCGAAAACGCGAAAAAAGAGCACCTTTTCTGCAGGCGACTGTCAGGAGCGCTACAGTCCAGTTAGATGATCGTGTTACTAATGTTCTCTCAACAGAAGACAAAGCTGATTCTGATGAGCCATCTACAAGTTCTGGTGCTGAAAGCTCTGCCATGGACACAAGCTAGAGGCCGTAGTCTTGAATATTTTTCTGCACTTTGTAAATAATATTTTGAGTAATAAATAATGTTAGGGACATTTCTTGCATCCAGCCGGTCTTCGCATGTGCGCTGTTTTTCAGTTTGGGTTCTGGTCGATGACGGAGTCAAATAACAAGGAAAATGCTTCAAAACAAACTCTCATTCAGTATGGCATTGGGTGTTGGGAACAAGGCGTCTAATTCTAAAGCGTCTTATTTTAACACAGGATACCATCCTTGTCTGCGTGGTAAAGATTGCATTTTTTTTTTTTGAAGTATCGATTTCGTCGAAATTAGGCTTTTAAAATACTATTTGGAATTGAAGAAAGCTTTATAAAATCACTGCCATGTGCTCACTTCTCTTTGATTTTCTTTGCTTTCGTTTAAAGTTATTTCAAGAAAATGGAATCGTCAGGTCGAAAAGTAAATCAATAAAACAAAAACCCGGGATTAAGCGCCCCCTTCCCATGTTCCTTAAAAGGGGGAGTCGTCCACAGACTTCGCGTTACAGGTTACCGATATCAGAGCGAGGGCACCACAAGCGATGGCTAGCCCTCGGGTCAAAAATTGTAGGCGAGTTCCTCTACTTGATCACGAGGAACCGGGGCTTTAGCTCCCCGCAGCCCCACACGTATGCGAGGCATCGCCCGTACCATTCAAAACTTCTTTAATTATTGAAACCACAACCTATAACCTCGCCAACTTACTACGCTTGTGGGAATCAATTAGCACGCATGCGCAAACGAAGATTACATTACTACATTCTCGTCCCCAGACTCCTGGTTTAATTTGAAAGGGACGTTTCAAGACCGCGTCCATGTGACCAAAAGAAACGACGGGCTCTGGGGACGAATATGATATTACTTAGAAAAGCAATCTCGTTCCAGAGGCCGCGATCCTTTTGGTAAGCGACAACCTCGTTCTCAGGGTCCACTCCTCCTCGGCCCCGTCTTTCGCCACAGGGGTCGAGTAGAAGAGGACCCTGGGAATGAGATGGGGTCAGCGACTGGGATCAGGACCGCAACCTCTGGGAATTAGGAGCCTACTAATTGTCAGGTGACCCAGCAGCCTGTTTACAGTCCTTTTCTGCTATTTCTAATTCTGCGACGACTTGCTTGAAACTTGCAGCCCATTTTTTAAGCTCTAACATGTACCCGGAGGGGAAAAGACGAGACTAATACGGCCCAGAAAATTCCAAGTGCACACGTAGACGCGTCAAACTTGGTTTTGTTTTCCCACATAAATGTAGGTCATGTGATTATACTCTTTTGAAGAACTACTTCTTTCAAATTTCGTTTTTTCTCGTACATTTGTCAGCATAATTCATGAAATGACAGAAGGGTTAATTCGCTTAAGAAACATTTGTCGAACAGCATATAAGCCCAAGAGGTTTATGACGGCCATCACAGCGCACGGTGTTCATCCCATCACCGGGGGATAATCCGTGTCAGTAGACCCGAAAGAAAATGCAGTAAAGATACACTTAACTTGTCCTCTACCTTACCCCTTGACTGGTAACGTACGTACTTTTGCAACTACGGTATGACAGTATAGCTCTTGAAAATAGAGAGTTTTAGATCCGAGTTTACCGCGAACCTCTAACCGCTGGAGGTCACGTGACAAGTCTTTCGCGTCACGTTTGAGGTTTACAACGTGCGTTTTCAACGTGGGGAGCTGGGTTTTCACGTATGTCATTTACCTGAAAGCTTTTAGCGTATAATTATTGTTTCATCCCACGTAATGATACAAAAATCTTGTGGAGCAAGTCTTTATACATTAACAGAGGCACAAATTCGGGCGAAATGCTAAATTTGATAAATCCTATTGGATCTTGAAAACAAGTACCATTCATGGCTGCTGATTCAAAATGGCGGCCGTAAAATTGCACGAAGAACTAATGTAAGAATTTACAGCTCTTTGCTGCTAGATAACCCAGTGTTGCCGTAAATTTCTTTTATTTTCACTGATTAATTTTTCTTCTATTTCTAAATGGAATAATAAACCAGAATCCACTTGTTTAATCCACCGCCAATCTAAATCGAATTATGTTTGAACGTCGAACCGCAAACGGGTAACCGCAAACCGCGGTTAGAGGTTCGCGGTAAACTCGGATCTAAAACTCTCTAATATTGTGTGCTTAACCCCAGCTCTGGCCGTCTGTCACGCAATTCTACGTTACGCTCTCAGCGTTGCGTGACACAGCGGACCAGAACTGGACAAAGAACTTTACTGAAAAAAACACAGTCTAAGGACTCTCAACATTTTCAAACTATTCTTTTTATTCGCGCATATTATTTAGGGAATTAAATACTGATGAACGGCTTTCTGTAGGGTTGAAGGCGGAAACAGCTAAAAAGAGTAATACCGTGCTTTTTGACCAACTAGATTGATGAAAGACAACAGTACAATAAGAGAATGGCTGTGGAAAATATACAAACGATCATAGACAACTTTATACAAAGGCTATATAAATACGCTAAATTTGTTCACAGTAACTTTCCACCTCGAAGCGTGCTAGAAACCAAAAAGTATCTCGTTTTTCACAAAGGTAAATCATGAGAAAAGAAAAAAAAACTGTCTAAACCCTTAAAGCATGAAAAAATTATATTCTGATTTTATGATTCACGGGCTACTAGTCACTCCACTAGTAGGTTGGAAGAGAGCAATAGTACACTGCAACTTTGATCTTGGGAGCAATTTTATGAAATCTGGAGTAAAGTTAAACGGTTTGATCAAAGAGGAGGAGAAAATGATCAAGATTTCATAGAAACGCGGTCTTGCAAAATTCGTGAATCATCTGAGATATTTTTCATTTTCCGAGCGACAGTCAAAATAGCATCCGAGTTGTTCCGAAACTCTGAACTATCATTCATATGCTGGCTTGTACACGTTCAAAGCCTGAATTGGTTAAACGGCCTCGGAATCTTTTCGATCGAGGCTTACTACGAGGCCGCATGGTTGTCGATAGAACGAAGAGGGTAATGGCATATTTCCTTAACACAGGCTTTTTCCCGACCCGAAATCCTTCCATACAAGCTGCTAAGAAGAATTTGCAAAGAAAGATATTACTCTAACTCCACAAGGAAGCAACCAAATTCCAGGATAGTTACTCACGCACGCTACTAGAATCATTTTGTCTTAAAGACGCGGATTTCTAGCAAATTGGACGATAGCTCTTCGACCGCACTCAATCCAAAACTAGTGAATAACTCGTCTCCCATAGCAATAATAAACATTTCTAAAAAAATGTTGTTCGCATATAGACGCACAACTGCATGTGAGCTGGGCGTCATGAAATGTATTCCTCGAAAAATATTCTTGTATCCATTGTTAAGAGGCTATAGTACAAAGAGTACAAAGTGAAATCAGTTGAACTGTTCTAACAGGTCACGACCCGTCATTTTTATCCATGGTGTTCGTCTCCGCGTGTTCTCACTAAACAACGCCTACTCGGCGTCCATATCTTCTGTATCTGAGCACAAATCGATCATGGTTACCGGACGCACTGCCTTTGTCGCAGTCGACTCCACGTTTTTATCCGATTGCACGGCCTCCGAGCCTTGAACCTCATCTATGCAGACAGGAGGGCTTGGGGAGGTAGGGGTAGTGGCAGAGGGTGTGGTCCCATCAACATCAATATTTTCCGACTCGGGTGAGGCAGCAGTGGGTGTCCCTCCGGCGGCCACGTTAGTAGATGACGACGCCCCAATCAAACATTGTTGACAGTTATAAGAGTCCATAGCCTCGGCTTTCTCTGGGCTTAGTCCCACACATGCTAAATGGTACCATTTTTCACAGACATCGCACTGCACCCAACCAACTTCGTCTCCTTGGGGTCTTGTACATTTGCCGGCCGCGCAGAGCTCGTCGTCATCATCATCGTCATCATCCTCTTCAACATCAACTATTTCTTCCTGTTTCACCTTGGCCGCTTTTTCCTTTCCTTTTTCTTTATCCTTTCGCCGTCGTTTCTTTGTTATCTCCGTTTCACTTGTCGTGTTGGAAGCAGAACTGTTACTTGACAGTTTTTTTGTTGTCTTGTCTTTGTCCTTTTCGTCGTCGTCTTTCTTCTTGCGCTTTCTCTTCACCTTTTCTTTGTCGGATTTCGCCTCAAAAAGCTGCAAAAATTTGAAAATATCATTGAAGGGTTTTCAATTAAGTATCGAAGCAAATATTTAATACGAACGAAGCGCTGTGCTTGACTAAATAATCTGGCAAATTTTTATCAACCAATTAGGTTTTCTTTGATTAGCCGCTCGTATAGTGATTGGTTAGTGTGTTGTTGTTTTTCAGCACCGACATTCGAGGAAAAACATAGTCTTGAGTGTCATCCGTCACATACATGCAATAATTTTTTTTACAAAGCGTTCCTTACCACAACACTGCTCGAAAAATAGGATTATTCATGAAAGCGACTGGGATGAAAAAGCAAAGGCTGCGGACTACACCAATAACTTGTAGATGACCCTCTACCGACTGTTTTGGTGTTTTGTTTTCATTAAACCAAGTAATGAGCCTCTTGAGTTTCGAGGGCGCGATTAAACTGGCCGCAGAACGCACAAACTCACACTTCTTTAGCGGGTGCGATAATGTGCTGTTACTTCCGCTTAGGAGTTCACATTCTAAAGAAATAAAAAGGCAACTGTGTTATTTTTGTACCTGTGTTTCTTGTTCTTCACGGGTCTTCTGACTTAGTAACACTTTCCACAGTTGTTCAGTTTCGTCAAGTGTCACCTCCAGTAAATCACCCTCCATCATCAGTGTTTCGGCTCGTGCTCGCTTCTCCTCCGAAAAAGCCGGTCTAGCTTCGGCTGCATTTGTACTCCCTTCGTCAGTGACAGAGACATCACTTGATGCGGCGGCCTTCTCCGAGTCGTCATTCTGAAGGCCTCCTTGAGCGAGCCGCAGTAGCGCAGCTGACGCAGACAAGTTTTCGGCACTAACTCCTTGAGGCCAGCTGGTGGAAGTTCTACTAAGATAAGTCAGCAGAGACACAACATCCTCGTCAGCAAGAAACTGCCGCGCGCGATCCTGCCAGTTCATTGCTCTTTCAGTGAGAAACTGCAGTGCTTCCCCTTCGGGGAGACGCACGGGCAGTTTTTGTAACGACACCAACAGAGACAGGATAGTCTCCAGACGCGGTCTTCTGGATCTTAAGCAAAGCGGGCAGAGATACTTTAGCTCTTTTGCTGCTTCCAACGCCGCTGAGCCTTTGCCCATAGATTTCCCACCCTGGGTTCGTGGTAGCGGCACACAGGAGCCATGATACCACTCTTTACACAGCTCACACTGCAGCATAAATCCGTCCGGTCCCCGCCGACATATACAGTACTGGCCGTCCAGGCTTTCTCCCAGTTTGCGTTTATTGTCCTCTTCCTTTTGTCGCTGTATATTAGCTTCACGCAAGTGTCCCATTGTTTCCATTTCTTTCCTCTCAGTCTCTCTAAACTCAGCGATTTGCAAGGCAGGATCTCTGCCGATGTACTCGTCTAACGCAACAAGATCGATTATCACCTCTTTTTCCTTCTCTTTCTCCTTTTCTTTGTCCTTCTCGCGCTTCTTGCGTGGTTTTGGGCACGCCTTGTATAAACCCACGTCTGTGCGAGGTGACAAGATCTGTAAAAGAAACAAAAAAAAGAATGAATTTTCTCGCCGACTATCCTTCAACAAATATGTTTTTCCTAAAGGTTATCAAAAGATGAGTTAGAGTATGACTTGCCTCCAGCAGTGTAGCTGTCGAGTTCTTTTTGAGAAATGTCCTTGCCGCGCGGTCCCTCCAGGCGCGCGCAGCCGCCACTTGGGACTCCATCTGTGGGAGCTGTTCCAAACGTACAGGAATGGGCCTCCCTCGCATCACTAACGACTCCAGCACGTCAAGGTAAGGATAGTAATTATCATTCTAGAAGTACACCATAAAGCAGGTTACTATGACTACAACTTGGTTAAGAACGAACACAGCACGTTAACTTTCGAGTACTTCTTGTATTTCTTGTGAATGAATTAAAAACTTGAAATCTCCAAATTCTCTCCAAAAAGCTTCCACGAAGAGAGGCGTTCTAAGAGGTTTTTAAACTACTTGACTTTACAGTTGTGTCAAAAACTAAAGAACAAAACGCTGTGTTTTCTGTTGAGATATTTTCTAACGTGGAATGAATCTCAGGAGTTAGCCTGCAGTGCAGGCGTTTTCTTTGAGCGCGCAATTTGCTCGCGAAAGCGCCATGTTGAAACTTCCCTCGCACCTACCGCAAGGGTTACTATTTCTACTCTCCCCAATCTTCCACTGTCATAAAATCAAAGATGGCGGCCATAACAATATTACGAACACGAACAAGGTTTCGCCCGCCCAAAATACGCCTGCACTGCAGGCTACTCAGGAGTGGACAAGCCTATCTTACCTGAACCTGATCGACCTTGTCAGACCACTCACGAGCCTTACGCAGAGCTTCTTTGAGGGCGCTTACATTGGGTAGGTACAAAGGCACACGAGATGCCTCTTGTATGATTGCCTCTACTGTAGCCATCACGTGACGCGGCCTGTTATGAAACAATACGGTAGTTTACAATGAGTATATTATTGTCCATGGTAATCACCATGTACATGTGGCTGTGCCATCCCGTGTGGAAGGCTTCAGAAAATGTGAGCTGATGATGTTTACTTTTGTCCAGGAAGAGTCATTCACTCTGCAGATAGCATTTTTTCACACTTTTGGAACAACTGGGGTTTATGTAGCAGCTGCTCGGAAGAGAAGTCACCAATTCTACGTTCCCCTGACCCCAAACAATACTAAAACAATAGAAAGAATGACATGTCATTGTTTCCTACGACCAATCAGGAGAGACCTTACGAGCAGCTCCTACACCACTCTAAAGCTTATAAAAAAGACTAAAACACAGCTATATTTCTTATTCCAAGTCTTCCTCTTCCTCTTCCTCTTTCCCCCCTCCAAAAATCTCTTCAATGTTTTTGTCACCTAGTTTATAAATGTTTATAGGTCTGCTGTTTTTTCGTTAGATTCCAAACGACCTTTTCTTTCGTTTTAGAGATGCAGGGTATAAGTCACATGTATGTTTCTTACCGTGCTTGAAGGCACAGTTTTGCCTTTTCTTCCCACCGTTCACCCAGAGCCACAAGGCCACGGAGCTCACTGACTGCTTTCTCAATTGCTGTGGAAAAAGAGATGATTGGGCAAAACACGAAACTAAGATTCTGACTTTGAACTCCACAATGGCGTGAAATGTAAGGTTGCTATAATAATTTCAGAGGCTGTAGACAAACTCGAATACCTGTTTTCTGAGGAAGCGAGTTTCCAGTTTCGAGCAGTTCTTGTAGGGTATCAAACGAGACTTCTTCAGTGTTGGCAAGAGTGACATCTACCTGTTCTAACCAATTAGCCAAGCGTAGTTCCTATAACACAGACAATAAAATAACATTAAGTACACTAGTAAAAAAATGCACATTATTTGAGTGTAATTGTATCATTTTACGTGGTTATCTGAGCCACGCGGAGGTGTGCTGTTTGCAAGGCAATGGCAGTACCTTTACTTCTCAGTTATTTTAAAACCCCGAGTAATGGTCCAGTTGTAGAACCTCGCACTCCTAAGTCAAGTGCTCTACTGACTGAGCTAATCCTGCTGTGATAAAAGACATTTGGGCTTTCACGGAAATACTTGTCCTTACCTGTTTGAGTTTGGGTATTTCAGGCAAATCAACATCCAAAGTGTGGCCATTGTCCAGCAGCTGCTGTAGTCTGGTCACGTCGGTTGTACCACTCTGTATCACCTTCTGAGCTTCACACTGAAAACTCTCCACATGTGTCATCAACTCCTGCAGGAACAATTCAGAAACAATCAGCACGAGAGTTTGTGCATTGCAGAACACATTGCAATTTGGAAGAGGTGGCTTTTGACAGGAGTGTAAACTAGCAAACTGGAATTACCCGAGAAAAAAAAAACCCTCACAGAAAGGAAGATAACTTGCAACTTACTTTTAACAGAACTCAAAGTAAGGCTGTGAAATAAGGATCAGCGATGGGGGCATCTGTCATGTATGAACCCCTTATTAGAAAACCAAAACATTCTGAAAAAATTCTCTAGTTTGTTTCCAGCAGCTTTTACCGAATGTTCTTTCTTACCAAATAACTAGTCACTTACTTGCACTAATTCAGCTTCTCTAACAACACAAGGTAAGTTCTGCAATTGCTGCATAAATCCCTGCAGCTCATCAAGACTCAGACGAGTGGTTGGAACAGTATCTGAACCACCATGAGGCCTAAAACAAACACAACAAACATATAATGATAAGTTAGATGCATTTAAATGCAATTTAAAGAAGTTAACAACTAAGAGTGCCTTAAGTGCCTGAGGTCAGCAGCCTTTGGCATGCTCATGCCCAGTAGCTGGCTACATTGATCGTGTGATGCATTGGCACGTTCAGCTTTCCTTTGTGCTGGGTTCTTGCAGCCATTTTCTTCCCCCCTCCTCCTCCTAGGCTCTGTTGTTTTTTTTCTCCACTGATGTTTTCAGTGCGACGGGTGCCTGTTCCTTTCCTTTCGTGTGGGGGCTCATGGCTGGGTTGCACTGTTGTGCCAGTCATGGGGGCATTATTTCAATCTAGGGGCTGGCTGCCAATTGTGGAAGCCCCTGGATACTCCAGGCACCCAACCTCAACAGACACTGTCCTCTTGGAGGAGAGAAGAGAGGAGGGTGTGTTATGATCCTATTAATTATGGCTGTGATAGACATGACATAGATCACACCAAATTCCTCATTGCTGAAAGCTAACAGTGGGTTATTCCTTAGTTCCTGCAGTTCATAACTACATTGAGAGATCATAGCTCCTAGAATTTGAAACAATTCTCCAATAGCTTCCTTGTTTAAAATTTTCATTGCATCTGGATTTCAACGAGTTGCAAAATTCAATATCATTGTACCTGGTTCTGTGCTTCCTGCTGACGAGCTGAAGAGCAACACTAGCACAACGTTCAGCTTCTGCTACTGCAGCTTTGAGCTGCTGGAACAAATCACAGTCAGGGAATTGGCTCTGCTCTGCAGTGTTCACTAGATCCTTCAGCTCTGAGACATCTGTCATTCAAAAACAACAACTAATATGTCAGTAAGATATAAAGAGCGTTTTCAAGTTGTCCCAAGCCTCTGTTTGATTTGAGGATAGTTGCAAAGCCTTTGATCTGAAAATAGACTTTTATTCTCATACAAATAAAAGGAAAACACTGTTTTCAAAATAATAGCTTTACACTTGGCTGCAACCTGACAACAAGGGTTTTTGAAACTTGGAAATGGCCCATTCCTGTAAAGTTGGTCTCAAGATGCAAGGTTATTAATCAAACTGTCAAAAGTTTTCTTTTCACTATAGGCTGTAAGCATTAATGAAAAAAAAAACTTCAATAACTCACCAACTTTAGGATCTGAAGGATCTAAGGATCTCTTGACTTCAGTGGCCCAGTTGTCAAAAGAATCAGCTCTTCTCTTGAGACGTAGCAACATAGAAGGTAACTCTTGAAGAGTGTACCTATATCTAAAATGAAATAAAAATAATACATTGATAAGAATGTTCACAGTTGTTTGCAATTTTTCCTCTTCACAACGTATGTAACATTTTGAGGTATGTTCAACCTACCAACTACTTTGTTTACCTCAAACTTTTCTCATTGGGTTCACAAGAGCACAGTTCAGGGACACAGTCCATGCATATCAGTTTACCTGGACACAAAAATAGATTCAAATGTGTTAAATATATCACAAAAACTAGATAAGGAAGTGGAAAATTAACGCGTAGGTGATCATGTGAGGTGGTGTTAAACAACATCTTACCTGGGCTGCATGAACACTGGATAGCAGACAAAAAGCATGTGGTTTTGCATACACGGCACTGTCGCTCATCATCGGGTAGCAGCTCAAACGCTTCACCTCGTTCAAACTCTGGAATACCCTGTCCAAGATGAAACCAGCTATTAAACTAGCTACGGAAGGTTGGCTAGTATTAGCAATCACTACCTAGTCAGTGAGAAAACCTAACCTGCACCACATTTTACACTAAGCTAAAATGATAACTCAATGTAACCAGTGGCAATGCTGATAAAATTTGCCCAATATCACTGAAGTTTTCAGTTCTTTAGATCTGTGTTCAAATTTCTCAAAGAAAGTACAATGCATAAATGTATAATTGCAGGGTTGGGTCAATTAACATGTCCATTTATAGAAACTATTGACACACAAACAGTCCTTAATTCACCACGCTCTCTACTTTTGTTTTGTTGCTAATCCATTTGCAAGATGATAAAAAAAAATCCTCTAATAAACCAGTTAGCATTCACAGCTTACCATTTTTGCCAAGCGATGCCTTCTATTAGCTTCCTTTTCCACAATTGCAAGCATTTCATCATAGACTGCTTTGGCAAGGTCCAGATCTAAACCATCTGGATCTGCAGCCATCTTACAAACCAACTCCTCATGGGAGAACACTGGGTTTCTAGCCATCTCTCGGTAGTGTTGAATACAGTGACGACCCATAGGCAGCTAAAAAAACATTCAAATGAATTTTTAATATTACATGTAAATAAAAAAAAGCAGCTGTAATAAGTTTTTAAATTGGCAAGGAGCAAATGTAAGTGGATAAATAATAATTTTGGTGCTGTGTTTGTAAGGGAATGAGACAAAACTGAGTTGATAAATGAATTGGTGCCTGGAAAATAAAACAATATTATCAGCAAAAAGCTAGCTTCTCCGTAAAGGAACAAATGTGACATTATGACCTTCCACATCACAACTAAAGTCCTCATTGCACAAACCACTTCATTATTGGCCTCAGTGATAGAATTCAACAGAGCAATTCTTTTTTTTTTGTGACAGGGGAGCAAAGCAAGAAGTAAAGGAAACTGTTGTTGCTTTGTATAAGTAGGATAAAGTGAATTGGCCATATGCAAGAGATTTGTTAAAGCAATTTCCTCTTTCTTTGCCAGTGTGTGTGTGTGTGTGTGGGGGGGGATGGGGAAGAAGAAGGGGAGAGGCAGGTAGTCCCAGGGTTTCAATTACTTTTCCATAAGTGATTGCTGACCGATGGTGGAATAGGTGGCTGTGACCAAGAAAGGTGTTGCAAGGTCCTTTTCCTCTTGGAAGTATGGGGGTGCTCCCCTGGAAAAAAGTGAAAACTAGAAGCTCAGAACTAACTGTTTAAATATGGTAATTTTTACTAACCAAAGAACAACTTTTTTTACAAACCTACCAATAAAATCTTAATAGATCAAAGAAAGAGATCCAAAAGGCAGCTGTTAACTGCCATTTTATTGAAGCCCCTGGTATATGTAGTCTGAGAATTGTTTTATCAAAGTTACCAGTAGACATCACCTTAACATATCTTTACAGTGCATGCAAGTAATAAAATATCAAGAATAAGACAACATACCCAATCAGCAGTGGCAAAATTGACAGCTTCAGCTAAATTCAGACCCTGATTAAATCCAGCATGATATGCTCGAGGAAATGTAACAATAAACTCGCCCGCATACTGATTAGTTCTGACCACAGGAACTCCTTTGGCTGTGAGTGCGTTAGGATTAATAATAGTGACAAGTTGATGAAGAAGATCAGGCTGTGCTTCAAACAACTCTGGGGCAGATTCTTTCATAGAATGCTCAAAATCCTCAGCACAGTCTCCTGGCACACCATACCATGTCTTCGGTTCACCCCTGCAAAACACAGCACTTACATGTGACATAACTTCTAGTTTTACTGCCAAATTCATTGTATCATTATGTGTGTTTTGCAAACTTCAAAGGAATTTCAGCTTCTTCAATCATCTTAGCGGACCTCCTAAGAAACACATGTTTACTTGAACAAGATCAAAAGGTCATGGATTCTGATTTGTGGTTGGTAGAGTTCCATCTGTTTTGGTTGTTTCTGTGTTTCAAGGTTTGTTGCCAAGGATCGTCTTGTTTCGGGCAATAATTGACTAGTTTGCTTCGAAGATCTTTCTGATCTTTCTTATTCTTGTCACTTGCAATAGTAAAGCAATGTCTGCCTCCTTCCCTCCACAAGAATTACACTCTTCATTGTGATTTCTTTTGCTATTCTTTAGAAGTCAAGAATCATCCTCAGTTTTGTTTTTGTGTGCCAAGCTAGGCGAGTGTCTTGCATCGTGATTTGCATTAACCCCACCCCCACTCAAACGATTGACTAAAGAGAAAAACCCAAAATCCCTTCAAAATTTGCAAAAAGCGCAGTGCAATACAATGAATTTTAAGTTCTCTGGGGGCATGAACTGGTTGTGCATATTATTATGGTATCTAGTTTGCTTTGTGCCCTGGGTTTTGGGGTAGAAATAAAAAAAATTTTGCTAACCAATGCATGTAGTTAATTGAATAGCTCCAGTGATCTTCATTGTGCCAACAAAAACTGCTGAAACACATTCCCACATATATCCAAGGAACCTGCAAAAGAAAATCAAAGTTAACATTAAAAAGCTACCCCAATGACTGTTGTTGGGGCGAGGGAAAGGGAAGTATAGTTTATTTTTCCTTTAACTACCCAAGGACATGAAATGAACACAGAAACAGAGGCTCAGAGCTAATTATAACAACAAACCTTCATTCCTGATATATCAGCACTGATGTGTGACAAGACTGATCTTTCCAGATTTGCAAGATTATTGAGATTCCAACCTGACTTGGCATAATACTACAAGGAAAGATAAAACACAAATAAATAAATAAAAAAACAGGCTTATCTCTAGAAATGAAAATAACTTGGACCTTGGCTACTTCTTCAGCCATTACACAAAATTGTGTGTAATTTCCATTGGAGTTCATGTTGGGCAATTGGAGCTAAATAACGGGCACTTTGTGATGTTTATCATTAAGAGGATTAAATTGAATATCGTTAGTGTGTATTTTTAGACATAACTCCCTGAATTAAAACAATAACATGTTTTAACATCAACACCAGCCTCCTCCATTAACAAACTGAAATTTAATCCAGAAAAGAAGAATATAAAACTGACAGAACTTGACTGCCCAATGAAAATCTGCCATTAAGAATCACTGAAGCTTCATAACTCACCTCCTCTTCACTGGTTACAGCATTACTATATTTGCATGGAAATCCACTTCCATGAACAGAGGTGTGCAGATCAGCACCATACTCCACAGTCACATCTTCATCTGTTGATGAAACAAGTCTCCAGAACTCTTTCTCTACAACATCAGTGGGCACCTGTTCTGGTGGCAGTTTAAAGTATTCTCTTTTGAAGTTATCAGCCATTTCTCCAAATGACTGAAGTGTGTATTCTCTCTTAGCTTGTTCAAATCCAAAGGCTTCTACAGGTTTATTACACTCCTTCAGACAGACAAAAAATTACTTTCATTAAAACATGCACTATTGTAATAATAACTTTACAACTAACTTCACACAATTCAAGGAAAGTTGAATAAAAGATTTATTGCAGGTGACGAAGAAGCCCGCCACCTTTTAGTTGGTCAGTGGCACACTTTTAACTGTCTAGCGAGATTTCCCCGAATCTGTTCACATTCTTGGAATTCCGGTGTTATACCAACTAATATGCATGGTATGTTGCCGCGAAGGTCTTGGTGTTGAGTTTAAGGTCCATCTGATGCAATGTCTGATGTCACAGTAATCACGTCAATGCACATGCAAGTGATGCAACAATCATTATTACAACTGACTCACTAGCAGACGCAATTCAGGTTAAAAAGTACTGTACTAAATGGGAGACTTCATGCATGACTGCATACACGCATTACTTGTGTCACGCATTACTCTTTCAATGTATCTTTGCCAGCAAATGCAAACATCTCTATCTAAGCAAATGCAAATAAAATCATTGAATTAAATATGAGTCTTGTTTACTGTGTTGTTTAATCCGGTTTTCATGATCCACAGTGATTTCTTTTGTTAACACTATAACTATTATAAAAGAGCATTCCCATTCACATGAAAGCGGTTTCGCCCGCACTTCACAGCCAACGGCTACTGCTAGTTCTAATCTATCAACTCAAGATTTAAGGACACAGACTTGAAGGTTTTAACTCTTGGATCAATATATAAAATTTCTTCAGAGGGACAGTCAAATGTTGACTACTTCTTTCTTGAGTTCCAAAGTAGCGTAAATATGCTGGGAGTTTTTATTAGTATGAACGGCCTCTACAAAATTGTTCAAAAATAAAACCACCACTCAACTTCAAAGTGCCTTAATGCAAATACATGCAGAGTAAAACAAAATTTGACAAAGATAAAATTTATGCAAGTGCATGCAAGTGAACTTAAGAAAACGCAAGAATTAGGCAGTGGTAAGAAACTAATGTTCAAATAAATTTAATACTAATAAGCTTATTGCTAACCTCAGCAACACATCTTGGACACCTCCAGTCCCCCCGAGGGACAGAAGCTAATGGCGGAATCAAACAGTAAGTATGATAGCTGTCATCACAGCCATCACAAAGTAACATGCTTTCCTCAGAATCACCTTTGCTGCATACTTGACATAAATATTCATCCTATTGGGTAAAATGAACAAGATATTAAAGCAGAGATACAAAGTTTGAGACACACTGTATGAGGACAAGATTTCTGCTCTATCCTGGACAGGGTACTGTGAGGGTAATTTTCCAATTTTTTTCTTGCAACTTATTGACAGAAATAGATCAAAGAGTTTGCATTTCTTGACTTTGAAATCATGACAAAAGTAAATGCAATAAAACAACCAACTTTTACCCAACCAAAAATAAACAATAATCACAAGGGGGAATGAGTCCCAAAGTAATGTTAACCATCAAGGTTAACACTTTTAAACATAATATTAGCTCACATATTCTCAATGCATTTCTTTAGATGCTGATGAGGAGAATTTGTTGACTGATCAAGAACTTTTTATGTGAGGATCACATCCTTTTTTTCTCAAGAGCTCTATGTTAGATTGAGTAGTGTAAATACTTTGAAACCAAAACAATTATTGAATGTCAGTCACTCTTAGGGTTTAAAGGGCAAAGAGTGGTCCACTGACTATAAGCAGCCCTCCAAGTCTGAACCACCAGTGACTTTTAAAATAAGAAAAGAATGATGAGAGAGGCATGGGTGGTTTTTTTGGATGAACAGATTTTGTATGGCTACCCTTTGTAGGAATAATGACATTCACATTTACCAGGACAATTTTTGGGTAATAATTCTTTCTGCTGGCCATTCTCACTGGTCTTCTTCTACTCAACTCGCACTGTTCCTTCTGTAGTACACTTTCAAGTTTAAGCTTGAGAGCTTGCTTAAGTCTTTTTTGTTTAGAGGGAGAAGGTGAAGACTTGTCTGGTGTCTTAGCTTTTGGTTTGACATCATCACTGAATTCCATTTTGACTGGGCTATCTTCAAGTTCTGCTGGTAAATAATAATTGTGTAGTAAATTAAACGTAGTGCAATGCATACTGAAAGAGTAAGTGAACAAACAAATACTGCAAATAAATAAAGACGGTAAATGTTTTTCACCAGGATCCTAAAGCATACTTATTAAGTGAAAACAGCTGCAGGGTTTCTGATAATACTGCAATGGTGTGATTTTGCACAATTACCTCAGTTCTCAAGCATTATATAACTACTAAGAAATCTCACAAAAAGACCTTGGCTTCTATTTTGTAACTTCATCCTTGAGTTGATCACAAGAATGCTCCGATGGTAAAAATTGATTAATCTGGACAATCTTGCTCCCTTTTGCTTACACATTTTATAGCCAATATAAGTGCTTATCTATCGTGATTTCCTTGTTCCTGATTGCTTAGTGCACTGTGAACCAATGAGGAAACTTCAACAAAATTCAACAATAGCCAAACTCAAACTGGTGGTCAAACTTCCCCCGTCTGGACTATTCATGTTTGGTGACTGAGAATGTCTGACCAAAAAACAAGGACCTTACAAAACACTTTCATAATAATAACACTGCTGATGCTGGTAGTAAGTGACTATTTTCATATCTTACCGTGCTTTATGTTAAATTCCTTTTTAGGTTGCAAAGTGCCCTTAGCCAACCCAGCCATTTTAGGACCAGGAGCAAGGAACTGTAACTTCCTCAGTTCTGGGTTGTTTTCAAAGTCTATTGAATTAAGCTGAAGAAACACACAGGAATTAATAAGACTTTGTCCAGACCAAATTGAAATTTGGAAATGTTGGCTTTTGATGAAAGGGGAAAACCAAAGTACCTGGAGAAAACCTCTTGGAGCAGAAAAAGAGCCTACAATGAACTCAACCCCGATATGGTGTCGGCGCTGGGACGAAACCCTAAAGACACACTGGTGGAAGGGAAGTGATTCCACCAGTGCACCATCCTGGCTCTCACTCAATCCATATAGAACTTGCAGGACTTAAAGCTTTACTTCTCACTAGCAAGCTTAATAGGCATTGCTTGATTTTCACTTAGAGGCTTAACATAAGGAAAATCACATGAAGGTGGAACATCCAATATCATTTTGTGGTGTATTTTACAAAAAGTATTTGTGGTGTATTTTTTAAAAAAGAAGCCGTTTTACCTCCTCAGCAGTAGCTTTTTTTGACCTCCGTGACATCTGATAATTGGTGTTTGGTGCATTTGAAATGAAGTCCCTATCTTTTTCCTCTTTCTTTGTATCTTCATTCTGATAAGACAATATAAAATATTAACCTCTGACTGGGTTTAGATTCTGAAACAACAGAGCAGGATGCAGAGAAGACTACTACGTTTTTAGACCTTCATGAATTTATAAGGAAAACTGAATTTAATAAATCATTTCCTTTATGGCTACTGACTGCATCTTCATCAAATTCTCAACACTTCTCCTTTTCCCTCCAAAAATAAAAGCTACTTGTCGCTACATGTATAATTCAATGACAATGAGACACATTTTCTATGATAAGCATTTCCATAACCAAAAAATAATCCCTCAAGCCGTACTTGGACTTGTACTTCTGCAATAATTCTCACCATTTCAATCAAACATTAAATTACTGAGAACTTCAAATGCACCAACTTCTTGGAGGGATTACAAATTTCTTGTGCCTTTTCCACCACAGATGATGGAGTCATTTTAAAAACAAGGGGTCACTTCATACCATTATAAATGATGTATGCATTGCACATTGTCACAGAAAGGCTGACACGCGAGTCCTTACAGTTCCAAACAACTTTTCATTCTAATCATATTAAAATGTTTGTTATATCTTAGACACGTTGTTAATTAAAAAAATTTACTTTGATACCACATTGAAGGCCAAAGATTTCCTTATAAACTGTGTCTGTAATTTAAGTTTTATTTACGCACAAAAGTAGTTACATTTTTTATTCATATACCAGTATGTACATGTAGTCTTATGCAAAGTTGAGGGTGTTTCTTGGTGTTACCGAAACAACTGTTGGTTTGCAAGTTGTTGAATACATTTTTGCTGAAATGACATTAATCGAGAGTGCAAAATGTATTTTAGAAATATTGTCTTAAAAAACAAAGAAAATGTATCGGGGATAATAAAAAAAAGGTGTGTGTAAAGATGTGAAGAGTGATTTTAAAGCATTTAACAGTCAAAAATTATTATAAATACTATGAATTTAGGCCACTAAAAAAAAATAGGAAATTCCAGGGGGGTGGGGGGTTATATAAGACCCTTCTTGGATGGAAATTGCAAGGAGATGGGGGGTGGGGTCTAATCTGAAAAACCATCCGTGGGCAGGAGTATAGACATTTTCTGGAATGATACAATTCTCGTCATCAGACTTGAAAGAACAATACGGAGAATAAGTTGTAAATAATCTGAGAAATTAGACAAAATTTCTAATTTCTCTGATTTAATGTTGTTTACTAACCCCTGGCTGGGGATCACCAGTGAAGGCTCCTGCTTGGAAGATGTCATAAGGGTACAGATACTTCTCATAGTTCATCCGTAATAAAGATGGAGCAGATTTGCCAACTTGATAACCCATCTGTAAAGGAAATTAGAAAAAAAAAGCATGTTAAGAGGATTGGATATGCTATGCTGTATGTAGATTCCATTCTTAGGTTAAACCAGTATTTTCCTTGTCTCCTTTGAAAAATTATGGCCAGGAAACAAAAGAAAATCTGAACTAAACTAAGATAAATACCGGCTTAACTAAATACTGACTAAAACTGAAGAACTCTATTAGAAATACAGAGGTTCAGAGAATTTGATTCCCACCTAGAAACATCAGGCTTTCTTTAGGTACCCAAACCTGGCCTCACCTTGTTGTTCAATGTTGATGACAAGATACATATTTCCTTTGGGACTAAAAACTAGAGATCTGAGCTTCAACTTCACTTTTGAGACATAACTAATTAACATTATAAGCAGCAAATTACAATATCAAAAAATAAGGACGTCATGGACTCATTGTGCAACAGGCTAGATAACATGCCTTTTGACAATTTCAGAAAGGAGGAGCTTATTAAATGGTTGACAATTTGCTTCATGGTTTTAACATTAGGAGAACCTTTAAAGTGGCTTGTCAAGTTGGGCATTTTTTTCAGGAAGATAACCTCAACTTTAAGGACTGTTGACTATTTATCCAAAAATGCTATACAGCTGTAGTTGCTTTCAGTTTATAACCAAGAAGCTACTGTTATTTAGTACACTAAGTCTTGTTTTGCATTCCCAACTTACAAGGCTGTTGCTACTTATTTTAACATTGCCAGCATAGACCATGGCAGAACAGAATAATATGAGACAACTCTCTTCTTTATGTGTGTTATGACACAGCTTGCATAGGCCCAAAAGATAGAAGACACAATGGTAAATATACCTTCCGAGCAACAATGGACCATTTCTTCTTCCTTGTTATATATTCAAAACCTCCTTCCTGATTCACAGTCTGACAAAAAATGGCCAAAAATTAATCAATAGAGAAGATTTGGTATAGTAAGTTAGACCAGTACCCTTACTGTGTATTAGACAAGAGAACTTTTTGCGCTAGTGTGAAATCCAATGTACTGCTAAGTATCCTAGATTTTAGAACAGAAAACAATTCGCACTCTGTAATAGTTCCTGTCACATACAGGCTATGTATATTTTACTCCTCCAAATGGACTTTGCCTTCAGCAATGTCTATTTGTAGGTACTAATTCAACGATGATAGTTTACAGATGTCTGCAGAAAAAAACAGTTGAAAACAGATCCAAGGGAAAAAGTTTTGCATCCTTTCAATAAAATGAATTTGTGGCTTAAGTGGTAACAAGACTGTAACATAGTGTTAAGTGAAGGAGACAAATAAAAATATTACTAGTATTGTGGTTACAACAGGCAAATAAAAGCTGCCACTTCAAGACAAAAGGCAAGTGGCAGCCCACATTTGCAGGGGACAACCACAGAGATTGTCATTTGCAACAAAAACATAATTCTTTTAATAGCTTGCAGCAACAAATACGCAGTACTAAAAATATGTTGCAAAAGCATGTTTCAACCCTACTTTATCCATAATAAAATAATATAACTCTTCAGTTTTCAATCGTAGACTTTAGATAAATATGTCTAAGCAAGTGGTCTACAAATCTTTTAGATCCAGCAGAAATATATACAAGGTTCTTACACCTTCATGGCTACATTTGTTGGTTGTACTTGAGAATAAGAATACACAGAAAAGACGTTTCCACAAGGACTATAAGGCTTGTGGGCCACACACAACAATCTAAATGTTGTATTTTAACCAGGGATAGAGATCTGTGCATGAACAAGCTATTTCTAGAGAATATTTCAAGTATTCACACACCCACATTTGGCCCATCAGCACACCCTAAGATGTAGATGGCATACAAGAATTAACTAAAGGTTTAATATGATTCTGTTTACACCTTGTACAAGGAACTATTTAAAGATCACAACTGCCTGCTTGCATTTCCTATTTTGCTCCTGAATTCAAACAGCTGTTTGTCTTGAAGCGAAAGGGCACTGGAAAAACGCCATTTTAGGTAACATTTTACATAAGAAATACTAGAAGATCACTTTCTATTCTCAAAACACACCCTCTATAAAACAAGGGTAAGCACAAAGCTTCATTCTTCCGAAGGAAACAAAGAAATGTTGCCATGAATACTGTTAAAGAGGAATATTTCGCTGTGAAAGATACACACCAAAATGGATACTAGCAATAAGAGTTCTTTATCCAGTCATTTGCCTGGTAATGGAAGGTAACTCCTTCCTGGAACGAAGGGAGTGGTGCTTAACAAATGTACGGACGTAATTGAAAGTCCACGTTGCATTCAGTAACAGAGACTTTTCAATTTTCATGAAGAAATGTCCCTGGTTTCTCTTACCTTATAAAGACGAAATAAGTCCAATGATTTTCTTTCAACTGTTGGAATCTTAAAGGATGTTCCCTGAAAAATGAGCCATCCAACGACAAAACCAGTTAGAAAGAGAAGAATTTTTTTTCGGAATAACAAATGCGAAGTAAACATGACGAAACCAATATGGCTGCCATCGAGTTAAGGTTTCAACATAGTGAACATCTACCCAACTGGGAAGACGTTTAGACAAACAATATTTACCTGAAGTTCCCAGAATTTGGCAAGGCTGTCTAAAAAGTTTAGTTTCACCCTCGTTCTTGCCTGGATAAAAAAGGAAGAGCTGTTAATGAGGAGCAGTTGAAGCAAAAAGAGAATTTTAATGGGAGGGACACATGTTGGCTACAATCACTATACATAGTTTACAGGCAAAACTTAGAACTTTCTTGACAAATAAAACAGCGTTTAACTTTTTTAGACGTAAGAGTATGAATCAGAGATCTATGCGAGCCACTTTTTGTGCTCTTCGGAGCAAATTTCAGTTTGTTATTACATGTGATACTCAACGGATTTCTTGAAAAAAGACGAACAATTTTATATTACCTCTAGCTCATTCAGACGCTGTATCCTTGGTGTGAATCTAAAACTTTCCACATCTACTGAAAACGGGGGCTGCCAATCCTAGGATTATACGTAAGAGTTAGTACCCCTTTGATAGCTGAATGGATGCCATCATACCAGAAAATAAAGACTTTTCTACGCGAAAAAAAAAAGATTTCTAACCGGGGGAGGTCGAATCTTGCAAATGCCAGTTTTCTCGGCATAAGGCCTTATCTTTGCAATATATGCCAGAGGGTCCTGGAATTCCTCTTCAGTAGGTTCAAAGACTGGGGCCTCTGGAGGTGGGATAAAAACGAACTCTTCAACGTCGTCCTCCATGACTGCTGTTTAGTCAGGACAAGACCAGCCATTTCAAAACAAAGGACTTGCATTTCGCCGAGACCAACGCCATTTTTAAAATCGACTAATCATCTCATATGACTGACGGCTCCACTCGCTTTTTGTTTGGGTGAGCACGTGATGCTCATTCTAGTGTGTGATTGGCTGTGAGCTTTCCAATCATGACGTCAAGTTGCCACTGAAATGAGGAGACAAGTGCTTGAAAATTGCTGAAAAAACTCAACTCCACACGGGGAAGTAAATAGAGATTTGACCCACGATTTAAAAGTTGAAGTCACAATTCGTTTCACGCAGTAAATAAATTTTACTCATCTGATAGAGTTTAACCCGTGCGTGATTGGAGCACGTGAAGCGAAAGTTGATTTCCGATTAGTCCGTGACAGCCACCAGCAACATTTCCTGTCCAATTGCGTGAATAATTTTCAGCTGATTTATAACTATATACAGCAATAACGATTTCTTAATACAACAAGCTCGATTTCAAGAATGGCTATAGTGGGTTATTTCAGGCCATCGCAAACAGATTTTTTACCGTTATTGTAGTTTAGTTATTTCTTGACGTAACAGGAATAAAATCCAGAAACTTATTCATTATTAAATTATATTCACTTTATACTTTTAAAAGCCGGCATCATTTTTGTACTCTCGCAACAGAAAGAATTTCAGCCCCCAAATTGGACTGTGCAAAAAAGCAACTTTTCAATAAATGACAGTTTACAAATCAACCACAATTTTCCATGGTCCAAACTCTGATTTTAAAGACCACAGAAATGACGATATAAAATGTTCAAAACTCAAGTTGAACCACGAGCCGCAGGCGAGTGGTTTCGCTGCAAAGTTTTGAATATTTTAAGGCGTCATTTCTATGGTCTACAAGATTGTGTAGGTCATGGAAAATTGTGTTCGATTTGTTTTTTAAAATAATTTTTTTTTACGAAAAACCAAAAACAACACAACCGGCACTGCGTGTCATGTTACGTCACTCCCATGGTCTATACTCTCATAAACCATACCTCTCGACCAATCAGCTCGCGAGGATTCGCTCAGTTATTGTAAAAAATAAAACCGAGTAGGCTGTGTATAAAAGTGGGACGGGAACAAGGGGACGGGGACATCGGGACGCGTGTGTGGGGACTTGGGACTTGGGGACGCGAGACGAGGTATTCGAGGACATCAAGTATGGGACGCGGGGACGAGTGGGACAGGGACGCGGGGACGTCAAACACAGGGACGCGGGGACGTCAAATACAGGGACGCAAGGGGACCCGGGTTGGCATTTTGGACCCGGGAGGCATTTTTTTTGAATATTTGAAGCAAGAGAGGGTCAGCGGAGAGCGAAGGTGATTTTGAACAGTTTTTGATAAATCTATCAAAGGACTCTGACCTAAAAAAAAATAATTCAGGATATTTTTTAAGATTGAAACCTCGATATAATAGGACATTTAATCAGAAAAAAATTAATTCAGGATATAAAAACATCGTTCCTTATACCGAGCAGAGCAATGCTAAAATTTTGAATTTAACCCCACATCACTGAAACCTCGATATAACGAAGGGCCCCTAAAAGAGACCGCTTAAAAACATGGTCATAATTTGTTTTAATGATATAAAGACATTCGCTTTTATCTAAAAGAGGTTTCGTTATAAATCTCAAGTTATCGAACCCTAAAGGAGACCTTTTCAAATATTTTACCGCAACTGGGGACCAAAATAAAAACATCGTTCCTCTGTTTCATACCCCCCCGAGGGACTTTGTTCAGCATAGAAGTTCATTATATCGAGGTTCCACTACAGTGCTTTTCACTCTTTTTAAGGGGAGGCAAGAGAACTTACACGTCGTTTCTAATTGTATATACCAACAGCCATTTCGATAAAGAAAATTGTTAGGTGCGTGATTTCAGTTAGTCTATTATGTACACTTTCAACTCTAGATCTATATTTAGTCCTGCGCTGAAGACAATTTTCACATCTTTTTTCCCTTCTTCCTTCCCCGCCTCTTTTTAGCTTTAAGGGTCGGTATATTTTTTCTCGAAATTCCTGAAAGCAGGGGCGTAGCTACCTACCTGTACGCACGGTAAGCACGTGCGTACCTGAAAACTCCGGGGTAAAAAATAACCAAATAAATAAAAAAAGAAAGTGAATAACTAAAAAGCTTTAAAACAAAATATGGTTATTTTAAAAGACACACTTTGCCCTAATTCATTTAACTGTACTTGTTTCTGGGAAATGTTATTTTCTAAAAGAACAGAATGTATTCTTCCACATCCGATTGTCAGTTTGCAGGAAAGCTACGTGAGTTACTTGTGTACCGAATATTGAATGGTACAGTATATTTAGGAGGAAAATAGCCGGCAGATAGCAAGGTGAATAGTATAAAGCGTGATTGGCTCACCCTGTCTTTGCAGTGGACTAAGTAGGGCACGTTTACGTAAATGCAGGGTGCTTTTGTTGGTCAAAATCAATTGATCAATACACCTGAATCTTGTTTGAGACGTTGAATGGGGAAAGATTTGGAATTAAAATTGTTCGTACTTCTGGAAAAATCCTGGCTATGCCCCTGGAAGGAAGTTTCAAACCACGTTGAGTTATCCCTTTATACCACGAGTTTGTGGGCGTCGCAGCTAGTCTCCTGACTACAAATCACGCTATACGGAAACCACGCTCTCGCCGTTTGGGTAGTGCTGCAGCTCATATAACAAGGCTTTCCAGTTGCTGATGAATAAATAGATCGGGACAGGATTTATACTTTTACATTGCTGTAAGCTTAATGAATAATCAGAAGCTGAATTGCTCTTGCCTCACGTATACAGTAGAACCCCGGTAACTCGAACTCGGATAACTCGAACTCCCCGCTAATTTTAATTGTGATTTGTTGTAATTCGTTTACCTACCGAGCACTTAGAAGTTCTTAAGAACTCATCGAAACGTGGTTTTTATCCCAGGGAGTGGGGGGTACTCCGGATTTCAAGTGACGCCCGGGGATGATCGAAGAATTTTTGGGGGTTTTCGATTCCGGGATTTTTTTGGGTGAAAAGATTTGGCAAGTATTGTTTCGGATGGCTTGATTTAAGTAGGGATTAGATTCGTGGTGGTACCCGCATATCCTGGCCGCGTAGTTCTGCCTCAACCTCGTCCCCAGGGCTTTTCCCTTAAAAAATGGGTGGGGCGGGAAAAGGCCCTGGCATCGGCTGGTCACGTGCACAGCCTAAATATTCTTGAGAAGCTAATTTATATGCAACCCGCTGGTTTTGCGCTGACAGAAGTCGAACGGAGCAACAATGGAAAATAATAATATCGCGAACTGTATGTCAATATTTTCGCGTCTGTGCGATTCAAAAGCTTAAGATCCATTTAATTGCGTATTATTCAAATGCTACAAGTACCGGCTCTACGTTGTCACGTACAAAATATGTCAAATGCTTCAGAGTTGAGACAAGCTGTTATCGAGTAGTACTTCGACTGAAATTCATCGTGACTGTGGAATTACTTGATCAAGCAGAAAGTGATTTTGTCCAATGTCAAACAAAAATGCGGGCCTTTGCCTCTAGGATCTGCAGTGAATTTAAACAAATTGGACTTAGAATTGTTCATCAAAATACTTTATGGAGTCTGGTCTTCTCTACAACCCGACCATGAAACAAACAAATCTCCGCGCCGGATGCAAGTCAGCCCTCCAGCCAGGAACGATGACAGGTCGCCGATCTGAAACATTTTAAGATCTCTTATATCTTTTCTCTTCCGAGGATAAGTACAAAGGATTTTCCTTATATCAAAGGGAAGATTGACCGATCGATTGGAATCAACTACAGCTCTGTCAATTTTAAATGGACCCAAATCTTTCTTTGTTACCAGTCGTTTGATACCCTGGGTGCCAGAAACTTTTCATGCCCGGTTTCCGGTTTCGGTCAAGTCTCGCAGAGGTCAATGAATTTTTAAAAATACAGGCCATACAAGATAAGTCTAAACCAACGCGTGACGCTATGATATGGCTGAGAGTTAAGGTGAATAGAACTAGGTTGTGTACGGCGGTCCACTTCGCAAGAAATAAAATAAAATATCAAAAGAGTCGAGAAAACGGACTTTTCCAGTACAAACTTTAAGAGCGAATGCACAGAAAAATCGAGCAAACCGTGGCCACAGCTCAAAACCTAACCTACCCTCATTTTAAGTCTGTAATAAGGTTTTAATGAGTTTATAACACTGCTGAGGTTTAAATTTCAAAATGCGGCCGAGTTTGGAAATTATTTGAGATTTTCGATTTCAACGGTCCGCGGGCCTAAAATTAGCCGCCGAACACGGCAATATAGCCTAGCGACAGAAATGAGCTGACTTTCATAAACGAGCGAATATATTGGCAATCTTCCACTTAAATCTCAAAAAGCAGATATCTAACAATTTCTAAACAGCACATTTTTTTAGATTTAGAGCATAAAATATCGACGAACGAGCACAATTTTGAAACGTAATTTGCATAATGCTTATAAATACAACAATTTACCGCTAAAACCAAAATCGAATTTTCTATATGGGGGAATTCTCCAAATCACCCCAAATCACGTTTACTACCTAATGAGATATAGTACTTCAACATTATCTGAAAGTTAGTCTGGTGTTCTCGCGAACGCTTGTAAAATAGATTGATTATTTTGAGGTTATTTTGCCCCAAACAACCGCTAATTGACCCCAGGGTCAGTTGACACGTGCACGTCACCTTAGTTTTATGCATCGATTTGAGCTCGTTAAAAGGGAGAAACTAGAAAGATTTTTTTTAATATGTACCTGCTTTAATGAAATACACTCAATCTTCAAAAGGATAGGCAGTTCAATGGGTAATGTGTGTTCTCGAGATCTTGTAGATTGTACCATGGCGTCTGCGAGTGGACCTGAGTCTAGGTCTGTCTTCCCGTGACTGCGAAATCAGAATAACATCAAGAAATAATTCTCCCTCGAATCTTCGTAAGTGAATCAGCTTTGCAGTG